CAAATACTAAATGGAAAATGAACAATGCAAATAATCTATGCCAGGAACAAGATTTAAGGAGATTTGTGTAAAAATGAGACAAAACAGAGGTTCCTCTACTTTACATCATAAAAGACAGTCACCAAGATGGCAATCCTCAGGATAAGCTAATGTCGATCTGAAATCATTTCTTTGCAAACAAGAACACAACTCAGGAGGGAGGAAAACTGCCTACTCGTATCACCAGATGGTCCCAACCTCATTACGCAGATACACCAGCTTTTTAACGAGCCTTTACTGAAATAGCTCCAGAGAAAACTGAGCTGTGTTTAGGCCGCGAAAGGGTAGCATTCAGTTCAATTAAACTCTGGCTATAAAAGCACCACTTTCGTCACTAATTGCATACTTGGCGGTACTACCATTGTTTAATAGGCTAACGTTCAAGCAATGCCAAACCACACTATCTTGAAATAAGGTGTATTCTTCAGCCTGACGGAACCATTCCTTCTGGCACATTCTGTCCCGGAGAAAACAAATAATTCAGCCCCTAGAGTCAACAGTGCTAGAAGGAAGAGGTCCTGGTCCTGGTCCACACTGCCCTTTCCCACGTGCTGTGCGGGTCTCCTCCTCTTTACCCTTCAGTCACCGGGTACTGGCTAGCTGCAGGCTAGCTGCATCAGGCAGGCACCTCCGAACTCAGTACTCTCCTCATGTTATTTGAACCGCATTTCCTTAAGCAAAGACCTCCTCAAGATCAGTAAATCTACTTAACAGATCTCCGCAGCACGTCAAGGCTGATTAGGCCACAGGGAAGGAAAAATGGACCTGTCTCCTTTTACCACCTCCTTGGCCTGTCTCAGGCAAGAATGCTGAAGGAGACCAAGGTCCCCACCCAAATGCCAAATGCAAGGCCTAGCCTCCCATCCTTTTTTTTTTTTTTAAACGTTTATTTATTTTTGAAGGAGACAGAGAGACAGAGCATGAGCCCATAAGGGGCAGAGACAGAGAGGGAGACACAGAATCGGAAGCAGGCTCCAGGCTCAGAGCTGTCAGCACAGGGCCCGAAGTGGGCCTCGAACTCACGAACCGTGAGATCATGACCTGAGCCGAAGTCAGATGCTTAATCGACTAAGCCCCCCAGGCGCCCCTGGCCTCCCGTCCTTAATATTCTAAGTCACCAAGGGTTGAAGTTGTCAAATTTTCCCAATAAAATATAAATCATTATCTCCACTCTCTCCTGGTGCAAAAAGGCAGTTGCGAATCTTTGCCAAAAATCCCCGCTTGGGACACTCACGGAAGCCAGGTGCAGTGCGCCCACGCATTCACCCTTCCTAGCTTTCACTCCTCTGTCTGAGACACCTACAGTGACCGCCACACTGAGGAGGTAGTAGGCAGGGCAGAGCAAGAACCACCTCCCACTAGAATGATGGAAGACGGAAGCAAACAAGATGTGAATGCGGAGGGAAGGTTAAAACTTCTCAGAGGAGAGCCAGCTTGATCCCACGGGGCCCCGGGTGCTTCAAAAGCTCTGCAGGCACCAAACTGGAAGTTCTCTCTTTTCACAGATACAACCAACTCTCAATTATGAGACACGTGGGGAGTGCAGTGGAGAGACCTGCTGGGCAGGAGCCCTAGCAAGGCTGCTCCCAGACACAAAAGCCAATATAATCCCACCTCAATGTATGAAATATTCAGAAGAGGCACGTGTAGGGAGACAGAGAGATCAGTGGTGGCCTGGGGCTGAAGTGAGAAACGGGTAGTGACTGCACATGGGTACCAGCGATCTTGTTGGGGTGACAGAAATTTCTAGAAGTGGGCTGTGGGGGCGCCTGGGGGAGCTCAGTCAGTTAAGCATCTGACTTTGACTCAGGTCATGACCTCACGGTTCAGGGGTTCGAGCCCCGCATCAGGCTCTGTACTGACAGCTCGGAGCCTGGAGCCTGCTTCGGATTCTGTGTCTCCCTCTCTCTCTGCTCCTGCCTCGCTCACACACTGTGTGTGTCTCTCTCTCAAAATTAAACATTAAAAAAAATTTTTTTAAGCGGGCTGGAGCAATGACTGCACAACTCTGCATACTTACTGGAAAATAAAAAACCAATACGAATAAATACACTTAAAACATGAATTTTAGGGTATGTAAATTTTACCTTAGCAAAGCTCTGACTTAAAGACGTATATAGAAAATGTGTGCTGCTCTTAAAAAAAAAAAAAAAAAAAAGTTGGCAAGAATCCGTTCTCCCCGCTCCTGGTTTTTATACAAATAAAAACTGAGAGCCTGCCGTTGGGAGCGCTGCTTACTAGCACACTCAGGACTAAAGGGCCACAGCAAAATAAATCCTACGGAGTTCAGCTCTAAGATCTCCTGCCACTCTATCTCACTCGGAAGTGTCTTTCAGAACCTAAAGTAAATGCACATATTTAACTTAATTTGCAGAGACAAATGGGCCGACGTTCCCTGGGGCTCTCCCCTAACCAAGGGTAAACATCTTAAGAAAAATGGCACTGGTCACCTATCACAGTCTAAGGTAGCACCGACACGACAGGGCAAGGCAACACTGTACGATCCCGCCGGTCTGGAGGGCACTCCGGTCCTGGGAGAAGACCCCAAGCGTCACTCGGGCCCACCGTGCCCAGGAGCTTCCCGCCCTCCTGAAACCCGGGGGGTTCAGCGAGGTGTTCGGGCTGCGACCGTGCAAAGAGGGGAGGTCGCTGGCAATGTGATCGCGGCCCCCGCGCGGGAGCCGACCCACAACCGCGGGGGCGCCGCGGGGCGGAGGGTCGGCGCCGGGCACACGGTTTCACGTCGCTGAAGTTTGTTTCACGGGAAGAAAACTGGAGAGGGGAGGGGGGCGAGCAAGCTAGCGCCGAGCGTGAGCCCGCAGAACCGGCCGGGCAGGGGCCCCGACCGCAGCCCGCCGAGCACGCACCCGTGCGGGAAAACGCCCGTCCGCCCGCGCCCCGAGGCCCCGAGTCCGTCCGCCCGCCCGCGCCCCGAGGCCCCGAGTCCGTCCGTCCGCCCGCGCCCCCCGCCCTGCGCTCCTCCCGGCGGCTCCAGGGGCGCAGCGAGGCCCCGGCCGCGGCCACCGCCGGCGCAGACCCCCGCCCTCGAGGCCTCCGGCGCGCGGGAGCCCGCGCAAGCCGGGGACGGCGGGGCGGCGCTCCGGGCCGCTGGCCGCCTCCTAACCTACCTCCGACCGCCTCGGGCTCAGGACCGGAGGGCCCGGGATAACTGCGCCTCCGCAGCGAACACGCCTCGCGTCTCCATTCGGGGCTGTTTACTCCCAACTCTCGCGAGACGGCGCGACCGGGGCGGGGAGAGCGACGGCTGGGAGCGCCAGCCCCGCCGGCAGTGCGTCCCCTGCGTGCCCGGCGCGGGCCTGCGTGCGCGCTCTGGAGGCCGGGGGCAGCCGGCGGCCGTGGGGCCCGGGTCGGGAGGACGGACGCAGGTCTCGCGACACTTGCGGGCCGGGGCGGAAGGTGGGGGGCGTGGCCAGCCTGCCGGGACCCGGCAGTTGCCGGGGAAGTGGGCTACGGGAGATGTCTGCGCGTGGGACCTTGGGGCCCGGAAGCGGGGCCGGGGGCCAGGGAGGACGACCCTGGCGGAACGGCTAGCACTGGACGCAGACGCCTGCGAGCCCCTCCCCCAGCACCCTCCTCCCGGGGCCTGACGGGGGCCGGAGCCAGGCTCGGGCTCCACCCCCGGGCACGCACTCTGCCAGCCTCGGCCCGCTCGCCCGACGCGACGGGCGGGGGAGGCGGGCGGCCGGAGGACCAAACCCCTGACGGGCGAAACCCCCGCCCCAGCCCCGCCCGCGCCGCCCTTCGCGGGGCCCTGACGCCCTGTGGTGCTCCCTGGTGAAGGAACCGGACCAGCGCACTGAGCTCGGAAACGCTCCCGGGCCTCCCCGAAGATGCCCGCGTGGTTCGGGGACTAGGATCGCGAGCTGTGTGCCTGCGTGCTGTACTGGCCCACGCGTGGCCCTGGGTACAAGCGGGGGACTGAAATCACGGTTAGGTAAAACCGTTTATATCTTTAAACTTCCCACCCCATGATAGTGCTCAGTGGCACCGACATGAACACTTCGCATTCCTTCCCTTTTTATCGTTATTTAACCCAGCTGATTTAACATACTAGGTTAATAAGCCATCACCCACTAGCTTTGTGCTCTTGGGCAAGTTCTACCTCGGCTCTTCGTACCCCCACTCTCCTGACCCCAAAGAGGTATTTGTATCTACCTCACGGGATGAAGGTTACATGAAACAGAGCTTGACTCATCCATGTTCAATAAACAACGATGATTGTAGCTAGACCCACCCACACTGATTTCTAAGTTCTTCTCATTCTGAGATAGCATCAATGTTAGGAACTTCCGGAAAATTCTTGACTCTTGCATTCATAAATCCTCAAAGTGAAGCACTCCCTGTGGCCACCATGGGATGGTGGCACTTGAGCTTAAACTTAAATGTCCGTGTGTCTGGTTGGCTCAATCGGGTAAACGCCTGGTTCTTGATTTGGGGTCAGGTCATGACCTCATGATCATGAGACCCAGCCCTGCATCAGGCTCAGCACAGTGTGGAGCCTGCTTGGGATTCTCTCCCCCCCCCCACCCCCCCGCCTCTCCCCCACTCACATATTTGCTCGCTCTCTCTCAAATTAGATAAACTTTAAAAAAAAAAAAAAAAACTTCAGTGTTCTAATGTGGGATGAATTTGTCTTGCTCAAGGTTCTTTTAGTAGGCCTTGAACTCCCTGGGCCACTGAATACGCCACCCAACTAGACGTAGGCTAGTGAACCGAAAACGTCCTTGTCACGTGATGGTGAGGCCCCAAAGCCGGGAAGAGGGCAATGCTGCCAGCCTCTGAGAACCCTACAAACTGAAGGGGGCCGGGGGGGCGAGACAGGTGTTTTGGAAATCTACCAAGAAAGGATGAGACCCCAGGCTCCTCGTCTCTCCATTTTCCACCACTCCAGGTTCTAAAATCACTTCATGCTTTATGTGTATAATAAAGAATTTGCAAAGTCCACGGGAAGGCAAAGCTTTATTCGGACTAAATGCTATTTTAAAGAGTAACAGCCGAGCCAGTCCTGAGACAGACACACGGACAGACCGGTCTTGGTTTAGGAGGGCCCCCGATGTCACATGACCCCCTGGCTCCCAAGTGTGACAAGGTTTTAAATAAGTGACGTTAAAACAGAACAAGACTCCTCAAAAGAACGGTCTCTCCTTGCAGTCTCCTTTTTTCTTTCTGCTCCTTCTTGAACCCCATACGATCTATCCTTCATCCAGACAAAATGGCTCAGGGCATAACCAGGAGTGATCTCCATGTTGCCAGAGTCAATGATCAAAATCTAAGTCGTTTTGAAAGACTTAACAGACACGTGGTTATGCACAATTTTCTTGCTGAATTAGCAGCTTTTAATGAATTACTACCACAGGTGTTCACAGATTAAATTTTTTGGTAATTTTAAAGGAATTGTTTCCATGGGGGAAAAAAATCTCTCCTTCATTCCAAATACAATTACCTGGAGCAAAACCTCTTCCAAAGGAAGCAGAAGCAACAGTTTTTATTGTTAGATTTTCAGTTCACAGATTGTTTCAAAGGTTCGTAATTTCCCACATTCTTAATAAGAAATCCCATCTACAGTGGTCCTATAATGGTTCTCAAATAAGCTCTGGAAAATGTATTTCATCAAGGAAGAAACCTAAGGAAGATTCTTCATTTTGATCTTTCGTGAGCTACGCAGCAGCTTTCTTACACACGTCCTGCCAAGCAGAGAATTTTAAAACATCACAGACATGATTTACTTATTCTCCTCCTATAACAGTGACTCAGTACCTCACCACATAACACCTTCGGTACAAACAGGGTGTTTTTACATCAAGTTGCTGCTTCTTACTGCGTGTCATGTAAGATTCAGGTCAATGGGGCATGAAGTCAAACTAGTCGTAATGACGGTTAGTTAACTGCTGGGTAGGGCAAATGCCAAATAGGACAAAAGGCAGGCTTCCACGCCAACTCCATCAGCATGCCCAGTGCTGCGTGATGCCGCTACTTGGGTTTCACATGCTTAGGGCCTCCTTTTGTGCAATGAAGGCCTGGTCTGTAAGTGGAAGAGCTTCTTAACTCAACCACTGATCTTCTGAGTCCAAGTCAGATACGGAAATGCTGAGGCAACAGCTCTGGGGAAAGCGTGGGTATGACATCCAAGCGTGCTCAGGCCCAACTCATAACGGAGTATCATCTCAGGAGAAACAATTTCGTAGAGGGCCTGATTTCAACCAATTTACCAGTTTCTGCATCAGCATCACAGTCACAGACCCCAAATTCTTACCTTGCACGCCAGTCACATTCACATAGCGACCTCCAATTGCCAAAGCACTACAGAGTGGTCCTCAGAAATGTCTGGCTTTGTAAGAACCGAGCCCAAAACACTGACTTCACAGCAGGTTTCAACGCTAACCCCTATCGTGGGGGTGGGGGGGTGGGGAGGGGCTGTGCCTAACGACCTTCACACCAGTAAGGGCGTTCACTATAACGCGTAAACCCATTACATGAACCAAGAATAAGCTGCTAACACATACACTGTGTCACACACGTAATTTTTCCATATTTTAACTACTATCCCATAAGTACTTGATGTTTACTCCGACAATGCCACTGCAAGAGAATATTACATAGAAAAGGATATGAAAACCAGATATAACAAGCTCTAGAGGGCTAAATTTCCATTATAAAATGGATCACAGGCTGAGAAATCACGACTTACCCACAGTAATTATAAATCAAGAGATGACTGAGGGTCAACCATCCTAACTAGTAATGAATTAATTTCACAGTAGATTTAAAACAAAACAACAACAGAACGTCTATAATAGTATACATGGCAAACCTACAGCACAAAATTGGGTGGGCTTGTTTGGTATGAAAAGGAATAATCTAGAATGATACCCCATAAGGTTCCACGTTAAGCCATCTTAACGACGTTATTTTCACAAGTAACTCACCCATAAATAAAGTTGCCCGGAGGTACACAATACACACACACACACACACGTGGTCGCTAGCGAAATACGGCCTGAAGAACAGCGTTTCCAGACACAAACAGAGCTATACGATATGATACAGAGTTCCATTGCTAATGACGCCGGCAATCTGACTTACAAAATAAAATAACACTTCTCCATGGTCCTTCCTGATGAAAGTTTGAAAACCGATACTATAACTCATCTACTGAAAGAGATAATTTCCCTTAAAAAAAAAACACAACATTTGAAACTACCAGAGCTGACAAGTCATACTGGACTTCAACATCAGATTGCCGTGGCTCAAAGAACAACATAAATCGCACGGCTTTTGGACAGCTTAGAGGGAAGAAAAAAGAAGCATCAAAATGTAGCCTCCCTCAACCGGCGCTGGCGCCTCAGCCCTCAGTCATTGTTTACTTCCGGAGCATCCGTGTGACGGGGCCCTGGAGAGGGCTCCACAGCAGCCTCCGCACGTATTCCGCGTGCTTTGCAGACGATGAGTCACCAGTACGTTAACCACCCAGCAGTGAAAGAAAATACAGAAGGTACGTGTGTTCTTCCAGACGTCAGAGTGCGGCAGGCTCCCGTGAGCTGTGGCCGCGGTTCCCAGGCTTCACGCGGCCTCACGCGTTGCAGGATAAGGCCTCCTTCCGTAAAGAGCGATTGAGAATATTTGCTCCCCACACCCAGAGCCATTCGGGCATATACTGTGCAAAAAGAAACTAAAAATAAGAGAGAAAAGGGTTACAAGGTTAGAATCCAAAGCACAGACCATGTCAGTATGTGACTTTATGCAACAAATATCACCAGTCATATTAAATACGCGGAAAAGAAAAAGCCCTCAGGTGCTGTTGACCCAAGCCCCTAGCCCTGCAGACGAACCTAAGCCGGACTCAGCGGGAACACAACACGTACACTCACCACCCGCTGACCTCCTCTCCCTAATGAGGCTGGACAGACGGACAGGCAGTACATGTCCGTCCTTACTTAACAGGAGACGAGCACGTTCATTTGGGTGAGAAGGACAAAGCCAGGCCCGGAATGAGAGGCAGCGGGAATGGGCACCGCACCCGTGACGGGTACTGGGTGAGAAAACCAGTGCTCGAGGGGCAGGATGGGGCGAAATGAAACAAGAGAACTGAGTCAAAATCACTGGGACGGACCTGAGAGGTGAGAGGACGGCCCGGGCCCAGGGAGAGACCCCTGCTGCCGCTCTGCCCCGTGGATCCCCCCGGCCTGCCGCCACTTGCCACCCGGGGGGGGGGGGGGGGTTATACGGCAAAGTCCAGAAACACTCCTGGTGGTCACAAGTGGGGCGCTGGTGCTACTGACGTCCAGTGACAGCCCCACGACAGGGATCGTCCAGCGCCAAGCGCCACCCGCGCCCAGGTGGAGGAAGCTGCGCTGTGCTGACAGCTTCGTCCCAGGCCGAGCTGAGCAGCAGCTGTGCTGGTGTGGTGAGGGGGAGACACGAATGGGGGCCTGGCTGGCTCAGGGGGCAAGGCATGTGACGCTTGGTCTCCGATGGGAAGAAGAGGAAGAGGGAAAGGGGAAGAGAGGTGAAGGCTGCCGGCACGTGCTAAAATTCTAAGCTGGAGCAGAAATAAAGTAACAGAGGTCACCCCAGACGCAGGGCACCGTACATCTAGGGAAGCCGCCCTGACTAGGAGGTCCCAGCACCACGACCTGCAGAATGACAGTCGTGGGGCCACCGCTGTCCACAGCAGGTTCCAGAGAAGCTCCTGCTCACCTCCTCAGAGACAGGACCCAGGGGAACCCTTCTGGGGACGCAACCAAGGTCTCTGTGGGCCTCTTCGCAAAGCAGGATTTTGTGGGGGAAATACCGGGATCCTCCTCCCAGGAGCTGCTGCTCTGAAGCAAAAGGTCTGCACCCCAGGAGGCACAAGAAGTCCACTTCCGGTCGTCAGGAGGCCCCTGGGGGCCACGCTCAAACACATGGGCGCCGGGGACAGACCGCAGAACTGGGGCCCCTCTTCCGAGTACAGCAGGGCCGCTGCCGTCCCGGGTGTGCTTTCCATGGTCTCAGTCACCCACGGTCAAGGTCAGCTGTGGGCCGGAAGCAGCTGATCCTCCTGAGTTACTGCCCTGCTAACCGCAGCCTGATGCCGTCACTACCTCACTCCCTCTCACCACAGAGGCGCACCACACCGGGAAGGCTGCGAAGCGAGCAGCGAAGTATTGTCGGAGGGACCGCACTCACGCGTCGTCACCAGAAGGCTGACTGCGGGCCAGGAAGGTATTTTGAGAGAGAGGAGAGACCAGAACCACACAAATTTTATTACAGTGTACTGTTATAACTGTTCCGTTTCATCACCGTTGTCGTGAACCTTACTGTGCCCAGTTTATAAATTAAGCTTTACCCTAAGTGAGGACACCTGGGAAAACACATGGTCTCTAAGGGTTCACACAATCTCTGGCTTCAGGCGTCCAGGGGGGTCTCGGGCCACACCCCCTCAGAGGGAGGGCTACTAAGCGTCTTTGCAGTATGTGTCTCGTGGGGAAGGGCCAGCGCCTAAGAATCTGTCTGTGTTGATTTCCACTCCTGACCACTGTCTACCGCGAGGGGCCGAGCTTCAGGGTGTACAGTGCCAGCGTCCAGAGGTGCCGCGTGTGGAGACCTCACTGCGCACTGCCAGCCTGTCCCGGGGCGCTCCTAGCACACTGGGTAGCAGCGTGGGGAGAGCCTGGTGGGAAGTGCTCATGGAAAAGGAAAGGGCTTCATCCCCTGTGTACTGACAGATCGGAAACCAAAGGGCGACCCATCTACTTGTTTAGAAGAAGTGTGAGAATGAGTGTGTGTGTGTGCGCGCGCGCGTGTGTGTGTGAGAGAGAGAGCGTGTGTGTGTGAGGGAAGGGAGGATTGGCTCACAGGTTCTAGAAGGCACTGTGCATGTTCAGAGACCCCCACCCACTGTCCAGGCCATGGAAAGGAGCTGCTTCTCCCCGGGGACAAAAGCCAACAGCAAGTGATCCGGACGCAGTGTCAGCCCCACAGGGACTGCTGTTCAGTAAGACTTGGGGACCCGGAGCCAGAGGATGAAGTCAGTGGCAAACGGTTGTGTTCAGCTGGCTGGAAATCTGCATTAGCAAAGAAAATGCCAGCGCCACACAGTCCTCAGACACTGGGATGGCTGGGACCTAGGTGACAAATGGGACAGGAACAGATGGGAAGGACCCCGAAGAGCTTGGGCGGCACCCTCCCGCCGGGGTTACTCCAAAGGAAGGAATGAGGCATCAGCGAAGCTGTGTGGCTCGCAGTCCCCTTCCCTGCCGGCGGCCGGTGTGGGAGTTTGGTCTGGGCAGGGGGGGCCGCGACCTCTGACACGGCTGCCAGCCTGCCTCCCCTGGACCCTCACCCACATTCCGATTAGCAATTCCAGGGCCTTCTCACTACCAGCCAGATCCCCTCCCCTCTAAATGCCACGTCTTCAGGGGGCCCCTGGGTGGCTCAGTTGGTTAAGCGTCTGGCTTCGGCTCGGGTCATGATCTCACGGTTCATGGGTTCGAGCCCCGCGTCAGGCTCTGTGCTGACAGCTCAGAGCCTGGAACCTGCTTTGGATTCTGTGTCTCCTCTCTCTGCCCCTCCCCTGCTCATGCTATGTCTCTCTCTGTCTCAGAAATAAATAAAAAACATTTAAAAATTAAATTAAATTAAAAAATAAATGCCACGTCTTCTTTTCCCGATAACCACACGTACACGGGACGGGGGAACAATATTCCCAAAGTGGGGAGCAAGTCAGAGCAGAGGGCTCAGACGTCCCAGCCCGCCTGCCGGGCCCTGCGGCTTGGCCCGCCGACCCCCAGGAGCACAGCCCCCATGCTCCTGAGCAAGACCCTTACTGGTCAAATTGTCAGGTTAATGGCGTTTTCAGCCTAACACATACCGGAGCACCCTGGCCTTGGTGTCAAGGACCACAGGGAGCCACAAGCTGTCCCATCGGCCTCACGCTGTGCTGCGAAGCTGACGACCGCGCTGGCGCCGCCTCTGCAGATGAGGAGTGCTCCCACATCAATGCTGCTCACCAGTCAGCAACTAAAGACACTGGACTCCTTGCCAGCTGTTTTAAGTCCAAACCATTTTTTCCCTATCTTTTGCTTGCAAATCATTAAGACCACTAGCACCGCACAGGGCAGATGCCGTCATTCAATTCCACGAATGCCCGGCCAGCAGAAAAGGCGCGGCCGAGAGTTAGCACGGCTCCTGGGCAGAAGGGGGTTCTGTGGACACCCGCGAGGGTCAGGGCCCGGAGGGAGTGAGGACACCTCCTCCCTAACCACTGAGGGCGCATTGAACAGAGCTGTTTACACACTGAGCAGCCGTCAGCACACACGCTGCATACACTGCGTTCTCGGTACAGCGCCGTGAGATCACTGGAGAGGCTGTCCCGGCAGCGGCTCCCGCAAGGGTCACTTACCCGCACGCGGCGCCCCACCCCCACTCACTTCAAACCTCCTCACTGGGCAAGCCCCCGCCTCACGGGACAGCAGCCCCTCCTGGCCTCCACAGCCTCCTCAGTGTCCCCAAGCCCACGTCACCTCCCCTCCACTGCGCACGGTCCCGCCCCCACTCCCGGCACCCAGGGAGTGGGTGCCCCTCTGCCCCATCCTTAGGCCGCTCTTCTGCACAGCCCTGCCCCCCAGCACTCACGAATGGCCACGTCCCTGCTGCGGTAACCAGACTGACAAATACCACCCCCTCCGTGGGCCCAAGCCCTCTGCCGCCGCCGCAGCCATGCAGCACGTGTTCCCGGCCCCCTCCCCCAGTGCTCACTGAGACCCACAGCTCTCCGAAAGATCCCGGAACTGCCTCATCACAGCCATCAAGGATTCCCAAGACTCTGGGGCACCTGGGTGGCTCAGTCAGTTAAGCGTCCGACTTGGGTTCAGGTCATGATCGCACAGCTCGTGGGTTCGAGCCCCGCGCTGGACTCTGTGCTGACAGCTAGCTCAGAGCCTGGAGCCTATTTCGGAATCCTTCTCTCTCCCTCTCTCTGACCCTCCCCTGTTCATGCTCTCTCTCTCTCTCAAAAATAAAAAAAGAATAAATGTTAAAAAAAATTAAAAAAAAAAAAGATTCTCCAAATTCGAAACCCGACACAGTCTGTCGCTCTTGCTCAATTGGAAATGTGGAAGGCGACGCAGGACAACAGCACAGAGGACACTTCAGACGGTCAGTAGGTGGGGTGCATCAAACCTCATCCAGTAAATTCCTTAGGGACTAACACTCGAGAGAGGAATGAAATCTTACCAAAATCTGATCTTTGCAACCTGAGAAAACTGTATGCGGATGAGATGATGATTATGAAAGAAAAGGCACAGTGCCTAAGCTACCAGAGAATCTGACTAAGGACAAAACAGTGATTAATGATCAAATCTTTGTTGTAAAATTGAAAACAAAACAAGGGGGGGCGCCTGGGCAGCTCAGCTAGATAAGCATCTGACTCTTGATTTCGGCTCAAGTCATGCTCTCTCTGTCGTGAGACGGAACCCCACGTTGCGATTCGCACTGAGCGTGGAGTCTGCTTAAGAATTCTCTCCCTCTGCCCCTCCCCTGCTTACGTGCACAGGCACCACGCGCTCTCTTCCCCTTTCTCTCAAAATAAAAGAATTTTGAAAAGAAAAAGAAAAAAGTGATAATGCTGAAAATAATTTGAGTAAAATAGAAATGAAAACACAAAAATGTAAAGTTTGAAAAGCTTTGTACAAACAACTACTCTAGGAATTAAATTAACGGGTTTTCTGGGCAGAAAAATAGACATTCTCAAGAAGAGTGTATCAGTGTGAACTAATGACCATTGAAACGCAGTCGAAACATCCTCCCCCGCTAAGCCCCGTCCTGGCTGGGACTTCAGTTCTTGCAGAACTTCACGTTCTGCGGCTCCGAAAACTACTTGCTTTCCTTTCTCTGCTTTTCTCCAGGAATGAAGGGCCTGGAAATAACCACTTAAATAAAACTCCATCTTATTAAAGAAAGTTTTCGCCAAATCTTTTGATAAAGGTAAAAACCGCTGATGGACTTATCTGAGTATTTGATGATGACAAACTTAATAATCTTTATACACGAACAGTCACAAACATTTGCTCGGTAGCCGAGAAACTACATATCAGAGAGCAACGGACCCAGACGAGGGCGCCTGCTGATGCGCCAGGTCTGCTCTCATAAACCACGCGCTCTCTGCTGAATACCTGGAAGCAATCTTTCGAACATCCAAGTCACTCTTTCAGCTACCAAAGACCCACACCTCTGTCACGCCTGAACAGGACAGTCTATGCGTCTTGAACAAATGAGGCCCAGAATACCTGAGGCACTAACCGGCTCGATGGCTGCATGAGATACAGACACGCCTCTGGTTTTATGTTCGTGGGTTACACTGCTGATGTACAGGCACCTCTCGATCATTACTAGAATCTTTTTTACTCTGAAATCCCCACATGAATATTTAGTATTTTTAGACTGCTGCCGTCTACCTATATTAAAGCAGTATATCTCCTCTCTTAGGGGTCATGCAAATTAAATTATTCAATGTTCTTAAAAAAATAAAGAGAATTTAGTGACTTAACCAGAACCACTAAGAGGGTCAGGTTTAAGAATCAGAATCTGCGGATCTCCTCTTTCAGCAGCAGGCTTCAATCACATTGCCACAGATCATTTAGAGGCCCAGGATGCATTAACCTAATTACAAGAGCTGAGCGCCTACGGTTACCTGGATAGAATGGGACCAGTATCCTGTGGTCCTTTTCGAAATGCCGAGGGTGGAGACAGCATGATGAGCATATACTTTTGGCGAAGGCACCAACCACGGGCACTTGTGCAGAAAGCTGCCCGGTGCGGTCACGTTGGTGGCCACGTAGAACGGGATTAGACTCTGGACAAAGATTCCTTTGGAAGCATATTCATACTGCAGTGCTCTGCTGAAGTGGTCTAAGTAAGCCTGTGGAAAAGAGCAGGGGTAAAGACTTACTTTGCGGGGAACGTGGAAGAAAATCCGGGAGAAAGAAGGCTTGCTTCCTACCATTTCAGGACAAAATCCAGCATAAGTCAGTACAAGCTGCTGACGCAGAGCTCGGCAAACGGGACCAAAGCTCTAATACACGTCCTACGACCTTACGATCTCATTTTCCAACCGGGAGCACATTACCTTCGAAGCAGAAAACGCGGCGAGCTGGGGAGTAGGTTTGCAGCAGGAGCCGGAAGAGATGGTGACAACGGCGCCCTTCTTTCTCTCCACCATTCCTGGTAACACGATATGGACCATCAAACTGGCCGCGGCGATGTTGACGTTGATGATATCCCAGAGTTTGTCCTCAGAGACCTGAGTGAAATACTGGGGGTAGGGATAAAACACACCCACGTTATTCACCAAGATGCCGATGTCTTTGTCTTTCAAGGCTTCTCGGATCGGGTCGTAGATCTCCCGGCCGCTGCTGAAGTCCGCCACGATAACGTCGGTTTCCACGCTGTAGGTGTCGGCTATGTCCTTAGCAACCACCTGCAGCTTGTCCTGGCTGCGACTAATCAGGACGATGTTGAGACCGCGGCTGGCTAACTCTTCCGCATAGGCTCTTCCGATCCCGTCCGTGGCACCTGCGACACAAGTCATGGCGCCTGAGCAAGACCGTCCCAGGGTGCGACCTTCACAGTGGGCCCTAAATACCCGACTTCCGGGGCTACGCTGAGGAGGGGTCACACTAGAAATAACCTCGGAAGGGCAGTTTCAGGTTCACCAAGCTGACTGTGAAACACAGCAGGAAATGGTTTTCAAGCTTCTATCAGGCTTGAACGAGTGCCAGGAGGTACTTTCCTGGGAAACAATGATAAATCAAATGGAATCTTACTTAAGGGAAGCATTTCTGAAAGTGGTGACAGTTTCTAAGGAAATTTCAGAACAGAGCCAGAGGCAAAGCACAGAGGGAAGGCGGGCTGGGGCAGCGTGGGCGCAGGAGCACAGAACGACAAGGGGAAACGTCACAGGACAATCCTTCCGAGACGACAGCAGGAAGAAACCGTGAACGCGGTGGCAACGGAACTATGTTCCCATGAAAACCTCACACCGAATTCAGGACCTCCTGAAGCAAGGTATCCACCTTAAAACACAAACAGGAAGGAGCGTCCTGCCCCGGCACAACGTTCCTTACCACTCACGACTGCCCATCTTCCATAGTGCTTGATCAGATCTGCTCTGCTCACCAGGCGCGGGATGAAATGCAGTCTGATCAGGCTGTAGAAGTCACAGATGACGGTGATGCTTTTTCTGGCCGTATACCAGGCTCCGACCAAGGCCAGGGCCTCCATGTAGCAATTGCAGGACCTGGCGATCTCCCGATACAAGAGGTAGAAGCTGTCAACGGCAGCCATGGCAGCCTGCGGGGGAGGGGGAGCGTTGCTTAGTTAAGTTAAAGGAACAGGCATCAGCCTGAATGAAGACAGACATCTAAGAACGTCAGAGCTTAACAATGATCCATTCAAGTAACAGTAATGGTTCCAATGCATGTAACCCATGGACCCAATCAATTTATAATCTCATTACTGTCCACAGCTTATAAAGTCCTTCTCTTCTAAGGAGATTAGTCAACATAACTACCAAGAGCTATAAAATTCCTACAAAAATTCAGGCACTGCGCTCCCTGTTGTGGATACAGAGATAAACACAATATGCTCTGCGCCCTAAAAAAACTCCTCGCCCAGCACAGTGACAGACAGACTTTTAATTCATGTAACAACTGAGAGGTGTGTTTACTTCTCTGCTTTCTTCAAATCAGCCCGTGCAGAGGCCCATCGCCCACGCCGAGACAGAGCAGAAGAAACAGAGGCAGTATTAAGACGCCGCCTTGGCCAAAAAGAGCTTACAATCCATTTGAGACAAAACTAAGCTGTAATAACCTTTCATATAAACTATATTACAGACAATACAGAGCATATAGTTTATGCTCCCTATGTCCGGGCAAAGAGTCCAACATGACTCACTCTCATAAGCATCCACGCAGCAAGCATTTATGAAGCCCCTACTACGTTCCAGGTACTGTGTCACACTGTGTCAGATGCTAAGGATTCACAGAAGAGTTAGTTAATTGTACCCAAGGAAAAAGAAGGCCATTTAACAAAACAGTTCTTTTTTTTTTTTTAATTTTTATTTAATTTTTTTAATGTTTGTTTATTTTTGACAGAGAAAGTCAGAGTATGAGCAGGGGAGGGGCAGAGAGAGAGGGAGACACAGAATCTGAAGCAGCTCCAGGCTCTTAGCTGCTAGCACAGAGCCTGAGGTGGGGCTCCAACCCACAAACAGAGATCATGACCTGAGCCGAAGTTGGACGTTTAACCAAGGGCGCCCCTAACACAATAATTCTAAATGCCACATCCATATAAACGGGCCTGTGTGTGCCCATGATGAGAAATGGCCCTGCCGGGGCAGACAAAGGCCAAGTGCTACCGACGCTGATGAACTTGGTCCTAGACCAGACCTGGGGGCTGCTGAGGCCAGACTGCGAGGGACAAGAGATCAAAGAGATCACAAGAGACTGCAAATACGAGGAACTCACACACACAAACACAAGGACATGGCATTTATTACATAAAAGACGAATGACTTTAATCCAAAATATACAGAAGAGGGGCACCTGGGGGCGCCTGGCTGGCTCAGTCGGTTGAGCGTTCGACTTCAGCTCAGGTCATGGTCTCACGGTTCGTGGGTTCGAGCCCCATGTTAGGCCCTGTGCTAATAGCTCAGAGCCTGGAGCCTGTTTCGGATTCTGTGTCTCCCTCTCTCTCTGTCCTTCCCCTACTCACGCTGTCTCTCCTCTCTCTCAGAAATAAAACATTACCAAAAAAAATTTTTTAAAAACCAAAATATATAGAACATTTCTGGGAATGGCCCCTCTGTAGAAGTCCCACAAAAAAAAAAAAAAAATTCCTGAAACTAAGAAAATCCCCCCAAAAAGTATCAAAAACAGGCCTTAGCTTGAGGAAGAATGAGCGGATTCCCTCCAGCCCCACTGCCATGTAATCTGAGCTCAATCAAGTTCCACAGAGTGAAAACGAGCTACGCAGGAGAAAACCAATTAGCCACTGCAAGAGCGCCCGTTACAGGAGTGACGGCACACTGTGCGAAAAGGCACGTACAACGGCAAACCTGCTGAATACAGACACGTACGTGCTGAATACGCGTGGACGGATGCATCTGTGAACGCGCAATCCGAACCGCAAGCCAACATGGCACCCAAAGAAGCAGGAGGGAAAAGTGAGGAGACGAACGGGCAGTAGGGGCCCCAACGCCCCGCGACACAGAGACGGAGAGCTGTCCACGGCTACCCGGCCACTAACGAGGCTGCCGTGGCCTTAGAGCAACGTTTTCCCCAAATAACACCGGAAACGCTGAAGTTGGCCTGTCTCATCTCCTACTGGCAAAGCCATATGCTGGGGTTCTGTTCACAGAGACTTGCCTCCTTCGACACGAATGCCACGATCAACCAGGAAGAGCCAAAACACCGTGAGTTTTAGTAAGTACGCAAACCAAAGACTTCATAACCTAAGAACAATTCAGCGCTCCTTTGGGGTGATTGGTCTTCGTGAACTAAGCTGGCTGAGATTTCCTGAAATAGGAGGTATCAAGATCGACGGAGTGTGGACGGAAGGCGTCCTTCCCGTCCTGATCAATCTGCCGCACAGAAGGCCACTGGCCTGTGAGAGGGACGCCCACCCACATCCTCTGAAATACGGTCAGAGTCGGGGTCATGTCTCAAGCGTGTGCTCTCTTCCCCCGCTGCACACGAGCGCCCTCCAAGGTTCCAGACGCTACGGAGTCGAGGGAGTGTCGTGTCACCCTCTCCCCGGGGCCCTGCTGAGGCAGGTGGCTGATGGGACGCTGGCGTGCTACCAAGCTGTTCACAGGGGCTGCGACCGCTCCACAGCGGTAACTGCACGATTCTCAGAGAAGTGACCCAACCACTAATTTCTTGTAAGAAATAACGACAAGATTGCATGTTGAAGCTTCATGTGTGGAAATTCCTGAAATATTTTTTTTAAAGTGTGCAAGTGCCTTCCGTCCTAACTAGTCAAATGCTAAGCCACGAGGAAAGTACGTGCAAAAAATAATACTCGTAGCTACTAGCACTTTTCCAACAAAACGTAATAAAATTAAGAATAACAAAACTACAACAAATAATCCGGATTCTTCAAATATTACATCTCTTCTCCTAATCCAGGTGCGTGTGCCTCTAAGATACTAGAACAACATGAATGTTTAAATCCCACACAGCACGATCCACCGGGCCGTCACCAAAGCAACACCGGCGGGAAATGAGCTGCACGGAGGCCACGTACGGCGGAGGGAAGGCAGGTGCGACGCACGGGAGCAGTGTGAGGGCACGGCCTCCCCGGCGACCGGCGACCGCAGACACATCTGTTCCGAGAATTTGAACATCTGTGAAGAATACCTCGGGCTACAGGGGCCTGACCACAAAGGAGGCTCGCGACTTTCTGCCGAGGCCGTCGCCTACCTTGGTGTCTGTCACCTCCTGGCTGTCAGCTCCGGCCCTTGAGGACTCTGCTGCTCTGCCCCCTTTCGGCCGACCTGCGAACAAAAGCGAACGTGAACCGGTCCGTCCTTTTGGCCTCACAGCCCAGCTGGGGAAAGCACGCAAACCTAAGAGCAAGGTGCTGGCAGTAAGAAGACGCAGAAGTCCAGAAGTCGCTGGGCCAGGCCTCCGGTGGGGCAGTGGAGCGCTTCCGCACCCCAGAGGACGGCAGACACCCACCGCTGGGACGTGCCCGACGCCCAAACCTCTGCCTTAGGCGCATGTCACGAAGAGGAAACAGACCAGCTCCAGGAGCCGGGAGAGATGGCACAGGGACGCGGGGGGCCGGCACGCAGCCCCGGAGCAGGCGGTCCGGGGAGGTGAGCGGACGGGCCAGCCTCACTCCCTGGCATCTGCCCGGCCTCCCCGGGGCCCCACCGTCCCCTCCCCGCAAACCACCCTCCTCCACCCCCCCACCCCCAGCGCAGCCCCGACGCCTCTATTTCACAGCCCTGGAGACCGGCCGCCCGCCTGCGCCCAGGCATGTGCCACCCGTGTGACCAGCTGGCGGAGGCGGCAGGAGGGCGTGGCCTGCGGAACGTGGAGCAGCGCCTTCCGCCCGTGCGCGCGGCGGGTGCTTTCAGAATGAGCAACCTCCGCTACACCTTGCCCCTCCTCCCGCCCCAGACAGGGTCCCAACCGTTTTGCTTCTGAAGACCCCTTGCAGGCTGAGCTCTCCAGGGCTGAGTCCAAACGTGATTCCTCTCCGTTCTTCCAGCACCTTCCATAGCCCATGGCCCCCAGCGGGAGCTTGGCAGCCGGCTGCGACACGAAGCCGCGCTACCCGGTCCGCAGCTCACCTCTCGGCCTCCTCCGCAAGGGAGCGACCACCAGGCAAACCTCCCTGACCTCCTGCAGGAAGAGACACCCAGTGTGCAAAACCCACGGGGGACCCCGTGCTCAGGTGCAGCAGAAAGACGCGGCAAAGGCAGAGGCGAGGTGGCAGCGGCAGTTTCCAGGGCTGTTGACCCGGCACGGTCCGGCTTCCCGGCTCTACCGTGAGACTCCCCTCCGCCAGCCTGGCACAGGGCTACCGGGCTGATATTTCATATCAGTCCCCCCACAGGCAGAGACCTTAAACATACACTGTCTTCGCTACATTTGTTTTTTAAATCACAGAGAATCAGAGGGCTGATGCATTCTAGGTCCGGTCTACAGCCTTGAGGGACAGAAATGCAATGTCATCAGTCCCCAGACGCAGCTCAAGATGGAGAGAGCTGACTCGCATCCACCAAACTCACAGAAGACTGACAAACTCAAATGCCAATTTATTTATGAGTAAGAAACAATACCTCCAAGAAGTCTAAATAGGCGTGGTCACTGGTCTGTAGGCAAGTCTATCAGGAAAACCAAACTATTCAAACAGCAATGAAAAACTGAGTGTCAAACACTGAGGACCCTTCACAATTCAGCCCCCGCCGTCCCCGCATACAAGGAGTTCACCAAAAGATAAACAGAGCCATCCGGTGCAGTGAGGCGAGGGCCCTGCTGGAGAGAGTAGAAGACCTTCTTCGGCAGAGAGGACGCAAGGGCCCAGTATTGCAAAAGGTCCAGCCTGGCAGGAAATGGTGACAAGTTCAACAGGCCTACAGCACAGGATGTGCCCCGAGGGGTGGCAAGGGGGCTGGGGAGGGAAGGCTAGATCGTGAAAAGACCTTTATGCCAAACAGAAGCGTGTGGACTCACTAAGTCCCTTATGCCAAAGCGGGGGACTGATCGGGGCTGTTGTGAAAGGTGGTAGGCGGCAGAGGGAGGCGGCCGCAGTGCTGCAGCCGGAGGTGAGGGGCCCTGAACCCTGGTCCTTGCAGATGGGGACAAGGCGAGGCTGAATTGAGAGCGCAGGGCTTTATGACCGACTCGTGCTGCTTCTCAGACTCGTCACTAGTTTCTACACATTCGCTCGCACCCAGATGGACCATAGATGGAAAATAACAGGGAATCAGAAGCTCCTGACACCCTCTCCTCAACCGTCTCCCCCACCCTTCAGTAAGTGGTACGTGATGGAAAGTAATGTCTCTCTAATGAAAGAAGAAATGAAGACTTTCCCCAAAGCCATTAGCTTCCAGGAAATCTCATGGAAACCGTTGAAAGTAGTTTATTACACATTTAAGTCTAGAAGCCTACCAAGACATGTATGATATTGGGCTGCATTTGACTTGCTTTTGACGGTTTGACTAGTTAATTTTCCGGCAGGTAGGGATTAGCTTCAAACTTAAAAAAAAAGTTAGAAAGCAACACCAAAAGGCTCAAATTCTCACTCTTATGCAGTCTGCTTGTAAAACTAAGTTATCATGAAGCTTTGTTTTCTTGCCTCTACAGGAAACTAAATCATCAGTGAACAAAACAGGAGAAAAACGGGTGAGGGAAAAGTCACAAGTGTCGCCCCAAATAGGAGAGGAGCCACTCCCCATCATCTGTGAGGCATTTTCTGCTTCTACAAGGCAATATTTACCAGGGCTCATCATCAAGCATGTAAAAGTCTCTTAGGTAAACTGTGAACTTTGGGTGATCATGATGTTCGGTGCAGGTTTAGACTTGATTTAAAAAAAAAAAAGGGGGGGGTGGGGGCACCTGGGAGGCTCAGTCTGTTAAGCATCCGAGTCTTGATTTCAGCTCAGGGCATGATCTCATGGGTCACGAGTTCGAGGCCCACGTCAGGCTCCATGCTGACAGGGCAGTTCCTGCTTCTCTGTCCTCTCTCTGCCCTTCCCCTGCTTGTGCTCTCTCGCTCTCAAAAATAAATAAACATTAAAAAATAATAATAATAAAGGGGCGCCTGGGTGGCTCAGTTGATGAAGAGTCCGACTTCGGCTCAGGTCATGATCTCACAGTTCGTGGGTTCGAGCCCTGCGTCCAGCTCTGTGCTGACCACTAGCTCAGAACCTGGAGATTGCTTTGAATTCTTTGTCTCCCTCTCTCTCTGACCCTCCCCTGCTCACACTGCCTCTCTCTCTCTCTCAGAAATAAAACATTTTTAAAAAATTAAAAAATAGTAATAATAAAAAGGTACCGCTCTGGTGAGCAATGTTGACAATGGAGGAGTCCCTGCATGTGTGCGAGCAGGGAGTATATGGTAATCCCTGTACCTCTCTCTCAGATTTACTCTGAATTTTTATTTTTTTGCTCCCCCAAAAAGTCCTAAAACAAACCTTATTTAAAAAAAAAAAAACGCATGGGGCGCCTGGGTGGCTTAGTCGGTTAAGCGTCCGACTTTCACTTAGGTCATGATCTCGCGGTTCGTGGGTTCGAGCCCCGCGTCGGGCTCTGTGCTGACTGCCAGCTCAGAGACTGCAGCCTGTTTCAGTCTGTGACTCCCTCTCTCTCTGACCCTCCCCTGCTCACGCTGTCTCTCTCTCTCTCCTAGAAATAAATAAAACCTTTTAAAAAAAAATAAAAAAATTAAAAAAAATAAAAATAAAAATAAAACGCTCTAAAAGTAATACTGCAAATATAAAAGGATCATGGGAAAATTATGGTCAAAACTGCAAACTGTGGAGTGGCCGGGTGGTTCACTCGGTTAAGCATCCGACTCTTGATCTCAGCTCCGGTTTTGATCTTAGGGTTGTGAGTTCAAGCCCCCCGTTGGGCTCCACACTGGGCATGGAGCCTGCTTTGAAAAACAAAAACAAAAACTGCAAGGAGCAGTCACCTTTTCAAAGCACCGCTGTGGCCAGTAACATTCTCCCGACCCAGACGTCAGCTGCTGGAGTTAGCAATGAAGCGGGCGGGCAAAGCTCCGTGAAGCAAGAGCTCTGAGAGAGAAGTCCCGGCTGAAAGGCCGCATCACTGCGTTACCTAAACGAGCGAGGCCCGGGTGAACGGCAGGCAGCCCGGCCACAGCGTCTTCCGGGACAATGAAACGGCGTGATGGGAAAAGGCGGGTAGAGCGCCACCAGACAGCGGCGGCGCGGCGGGCGGAAGCATGACCCTCGGAGACGTCCGCGTCCCAGGCCTCAAGCCTCACGAATACGTCGCCTTATGTGGCAGAGAGGCCTTTGCAGACGTAATGAAGTTACAGACGTCGAGACGAGGAGGTGACGCTGGATGGTCCGGGTGGACAGCTGTGCCCACGCGTGTCCTTACAGGAGGGAGGCAGGAGGTCAGAGCCAGGGGACGCGCGATCAAGAAGCGAAGGTCAAGGAGCCACGAGCGGGATGTAAAGCCGCCAGGCTGCGGGACCTGACCACGGGGCCGGGGTGACCTCTAGAACGCAGGCGCCTGAAGCAGCCGCCGAAGGCAGGAAACAGATCGTCCCCAGAGCCTCCAGGAGCAAGAGCCCTGCTGACACCTCACGTCAGCCCAGCGAGACGGATTTCAGGCTCCTGGCCTCCAGAACCGCGGGGGAAGGACTCTGCGCCGTTCTCAGCCACCACATTTGTGGTGACCTGTCACAGCAACAGCAGGGAATTAAGATGGATGCATGGATGCAAGGACAGGCAGACCATCAAGGCTAGTTTTTAGGACACTACAGAGAAAAGTTGCAAATCCTGCACATCCCTTAAAGCAAAACCTTCCAGTGCACGCAGGATCCAGAAACCAGCCCCAGAGACTCCCAGGATGGTCCCCCCAGTGGGGTAGACCCGAGGCAGCCCCGCCCCCCCACTGCCCCGACCTCATCAGCAGCCGGCACCGCCCAGCTTTTCGAGAAGCTCCAGGCCTGCGGACTTTATTCGCATTACCGGGTTTTCACAGCCTCTTACTTCCCCTGGGAGAGCCCGCGCCTGTCTCGCTCTCTGCACTCAACTCGGCCCGTCCTCCCAAGAGCAGCTCAATCCCCCAGTCCAATGCCAGCGCTCACGGGCGAGGACAAGCCCGGCCTGGGGATGAAGGGGAGCCCCGCGCCACTTCCCGTTCCTTCCGAGGCTTCCGGCACCCAGTCCCCCGAGTTCCTGTGTGCCTATCTTGCCCACGCAGCCCTGGCCACAGTGCTCTGCGTTCTGATTAACCGCTCCCCCCCTCTCTGGGTTCCCCGACCACAGCGCGGGCCTGCGGAGAGCAGGAGATGTGTCTAAAATCGTAATTCTTCTGCGACTTGGAAAAAAATTGAAAAACACACAAGTTGTCAAACCAATTGTGCACAGTTCAGAGAATAACATAACACCCACGCAGCCACCCTCCTTCCAGTCTTAGAAGTCCCAAAGGCTTCTTCGCTGATCACGCCCCCTTCCGCCACCCTGGGGGTAACAACTCCCCTGAGTTCTGACATCACCATTCCCTTGCCCTTAAAAAAAAAGAATTTTTTTTTAAATAAACAAGTTGTACTTTTACCCCAGCAGGGATTCTGCAAGAAAGAGTTCAGTTGTGTCTGGTTTTGAACTCTATATGAAGAACTCACACGTGTCTATTCCTTGGTGACTTAGTTCTTTCACTCAACATTTTCAAGACTCAAGCACACTCCTGGGGCTCGTCGCGGCACAAACACACCGCAACGCATACCCTCATTCTGTCGCCGATGCGCATTCGGCCTGGGCCCTTTTTGGCTTGACAATTATGAACAGAGCTGCCACGAGCACTCTCATGCACACCCCCTGAGCACGTGCGCAAGAGCCCCTCGGAGGGCAGTGCCTGAGTCAGGCTGCTGGGCCACAGGGCATCACACACGTGTTCAACAAGGCACTGCCCAAAGTGGATTGGTCTACGTGACCAATCCCCATGCCCATCAGTGAGTGTGAGTTCACACTGCCCCTCCCCAATGGCTGGTTCACCTTCTGCCCACAGGGTGGCTGTGAAACGGGAGCTATGGTTTTAATTTACATTTCTTGATTCCTAATAAGACTGACTGCATCCTTTGAGGCTTCTGTGCTGTTTGGGGCTCTTCGCCTGTGAATTGCCTGTTCCTAGCTTTCGCCCATACTTCTACTGTGTTGCCTTCCTTTCCGTTCTATATTCTATACTGCCTCTCTGTACGTTTTGTCTCTTTATGGTGCTTCCGATGAACTGAATGTCTTGATTTCAATGTCACCAAATTTATCAATCTTTTTCCTGTATGGTTTGCACTGTGCTGCACTTCACTTCAGAAACCCCTTCGGCCCCAAGATAGAAACACATTTTCCTCTAATGTTTTCACTAACGTGTTACCAATTGTGCTTTTCAGATTTGCGTCTTTAATTCTCCTGCAGCTCTGTGATGATGGAAGGCTGGGCTCATGCCCATCTTTTTTATATATATTTTTTTTAATGTTTTATTTATTCTGAGAGAGAGAGAGAGAACGTGAGCAGGGGAGGGTCAGAGAGAGAGGGAGACACAGAATCCGAAGCAGCTCAAGGCTCTGAGCTGTCAGCACGAGCCCGACGTGGGGCTCGAACCCACGAACCGTGAGATCATCTCCTGAACCGAAGTCACTTAACGGACTGAGCCCCCCAGGCACCCATCTTTAACTGTCCTCCTCAGCACCTGGCACGCTGCCGCATATACGGTATCTATGTAACAAACAGAAGTAAATACTGCTTCGTGTTCACAGCTCGGATTTCACTCTTGAGGAGAAAAAAAAATGAAAGAAGCTTCTCAACCTTTGGGTCAGCACTTCGACCGAGTTACTATTGGCGTATCATGAGTTTTTGGAATTTCCTTACCTCCCTTTGCCAATTCTGAGGCTACTGCTAACCTGAATTCACAGGGAGCTCAATGGAAAGAGCAGAACACGGGAGGCCTCACCCAAGATCCAACAGTCTTGGGTTTCAGGTCTGTTTGTGCCAACAGAAATTAAAATAACAGTGGCCCCTGCCCCTAGGCAGACACCCCACACAACTTACAGCCACATAGCTGTATTGTGTGTAGTTGTATTCCCAGCACCATTATTCACAACAGCTACAACACGGAAATGACCCAAACGTCCATCAACAGATGAATGGATGAACACAATGTGGTCTGTCCGGAGAGCAGAGTATCAGTCAGCAATAAAAAGAATGTCTGCGGGGCGCCTGGGGGGCTCAGTCGGCTAAGCGTCCGACTTCAGCTCAGTTCACAATCTCACGGTTCGTGGGTTCGAGCCCCACATCAGGCTCCATGCTGACAGCTAGCTTAGAGCCTAGAGCCTGTCTTCGGATTCTGTGTCTCCCTCTTTCTCTGACCCTCCACTGCTCACGCTGTCTCTGTCTCTCAAAAATAAATAAAACATTAAAAAAAAATGTCTGCTACACAAACATTGAAAACACTCTGCTTGGTGAAAAAAGCCAGACACCAAAGGCTACAAACTATCCGATCCGATCCATATAAACTATCCAGATAAGGCAAACCCGGAGACAGAAGGTATATTAAGGCTGCCAGGGCACAGGGGCAGTGCGCAGGGGGAGTGACTGCTAATGGGGTAGGATTTTTTTTCTGGGCTGATGGGAATGTTCTGGAACTAAAAAGTGGTGATGGTTGGAGATAGCGAACATGCTGCTACGGAGAAGATTCTTTGAAAGGGCTAACATCTTAAATGGTGAATTTCATGTCATGAATTTTATGTCAATTTTTAATATGTACAAAAAAATACCCATTTGTTAAAACACTTTGGTCCTGGATTATTACTGTGGTGACTAAAACCACAGACTCTGAAAATAGATTTCCTGGAGTCGCATCCTAAGAGCTGCGTCTTGGGTGAAGGTGAAGTTGCTTCACCTCTGGGCTTCCCTTACATCACCTGTAAATGCGACATAATAGTTCCTGCCTGCGATCACAAGAATTAAATGATGTCATATTTACAAAGCACTTAGAACGGTGCCTGAACTTAAGTGCTCCCTAAATGTTAGCTCTTAGCAGCTATATCTCAGTGTTCGAGGTGAGCTGTGGGCTCTCTGGAGCGGCCGAGAATTAGAACCAAGAGCTGGCTCTAGGCAGAAGCGTCCCCTAAGGGTTTTACCCCTGACACCTCACTGTTTTCTCACCAACGTTAGGAGGGAGAGTTATAAACACCCCCCAGTTCACAGATGGGGAAACTGAGTCTGAGAGAGGTTAAAGTGACATACCCAGGACCTCACGGGAATTCGAATCAAGGTCTAACAAAAGCCAGAGAGCCCTGGCTGGCCGCCCCACCGGGGGACCCCCGGGCTGCAGCTCTTCGGGTGGCCGCACGCTCCTCCGAACCAGGGCCAGCCTCCTCGGTCTCCAGAACCCGGCAGCGCCCAGCAAAGCCGGGCAAACCACCGCGCTTCGGGAACCGGGGGTGGCCTTTCTTCAGGCGCTCCCTTATTCTCAATTACTCCTAATTCAGAACAAAGACGACAGGAAATCCCACTCCAAGTCCTTCAGAAATGAGAATAAAGGAGCACGCACAAAGGGGTGGCCCCCGGAGCCCCGCGGGAAGGACCGGGCTAGCTAGAGGCCGGGGCCAGAGGGGCCGGGCTCGGGTGGGTGGGGCCCCAGACCTTCGGGGTCCTTGGGGAGGGGGCGGGCCCAGAACGGGGGTCCCCGGGGTGCAACGCCGGGATGGGAGTTGGGAAGGTCCGCCGTGGAGCTGAGGGACAAGTCTGGAAGGAGGGGTGCCGAGGCGGGGGTCCGAGGGTCCCGGGTGCGGAAGGCGCCGAGGGGCACCGGTCCCAGGGGGCGTGGCGGGGCTTACAGGGAGGGACGGGCCGAGAGGGACCATGCGGGGTCGGGACCCGAGGCCGGGCAAGGGGGGCGCGGTACCTGCAGAAGCGGCTCAGTCTCCGAGAGGGTCCCGCCAGAGCCTCGAGGCCGCCGCCCCCGTCACCGCCGCCACCGCCGCCCCCGTCACCGCCGCCGCCGCAGCTGCCGCGGGCCGCGCCCCACGTGACACGCGCACGCGCCGGGGGCGGAGCCGTTGCGGGCCCCGCCTCCGGCGCGCCTACGTGCTGGCCGACCCTACTGCGCGTGCGCGGCGGTTGCCGTGGAAACGAGGCAAGCGTTGAGCTCCCAACGACTCGGGCGCGGGCGGTCGGCTGAGAAGGAAAGCGGGGCCTCCCTGGCGGGGCCGGGAGCAGTAGCGACCCACGGGACGCGGTTTTCGGTACTTCCGGAAGCAGCATGCACCCCGAGGCCTCGGAGCCCGGGGCGGACGGGCCGGCGGAGCAGGGCTGCGCGCAGGAGCCGGGCGTGGAGGCGTCGGCGGGCGACCACGCGGACGCAGGCCCGGGGGGCCGCCAGGAAGGTGCCGACTGCCGCCCCAGGGAGCCGAGGGGGGCGATGGGCTGCCCCCGGCACCACACCTGACCTTCCCAGCCAGCGAGAACAAGAGTAATAATAACAGGAGCGGCACACACGTTTTAAAGGACGCGTGCCCAGCGCTCACCTCATCCGAGCCGCACGCCCGTCCTCTGCTCCTCTCCCAGTTCATACAGATGAGGATGCTGAGACCTAAAGGGGTTGTGGAACTCGCTCCAAATAGATCGCCCTCATTCGGTCAATGACAGAACAGACACATGCTGCATAGTCCGACCCCGGAGCGCTAGCCCTTGCCCAACACTCCCTTCTCCCCATCCCCAGCTGTTTCATGTTTTGAATGTTATCTATTACTATCTCCGCGTAAGGCCGAAGGCTCTCTCCTTCTAGACCGCCAGCCGTGTTGGGGCAGGATTTCCTGATGGGATTCACTGTCGCGTCCAGTGTCTGATCCGCGGTAGAGAGTGAGTGAGGAGGTGATGGCTCTGGGGTCAGTAGGTGATTCCCTCCCCCGAGCTTCCCCGAATGGGTTTAGAAGACAGCCTTCACCCTCTGCTCCCATTTTGCTGCTCCATTTCCTAAGGGAAATCCTTTACCGACTAGATAAATTACTTGATTTGTATCTTTTTTTTTTAATTTTTTAAATGTTTTTATTTATTTCTAGGAGAGAGAGAGACAGTGTGAGCAGGGGAGGGTCAGAGAGAGAGGGAGTCACAGACCGAAAGAGGCTCCAGGCTCTGAGCTGGCAGTCAGCACAGAGCCCGAAGCCGGGCTCGAACCCACAAACCGCGAGATCATGACCTAAGCAAAAGCCGGACGCTTAACCAACTAAGCCACCCACTAAGAGCCCCTGTATCTCATTTTTTAAACCCAATCAACAAACGTGTCTTGAGCACCCAGCTGTCCAGGCAAGACCTGTATGCAAGAGCTGTAGGGAAGCTTTGTAGCGCTCTGGAAAGAGATAGGCTTTGGAGCCACTCACGCTGGGCACAGATTTCGACTCTGCAACTAATCAGGCTTTATGGCTGTCAGCCCAGGCTTTAAACCTCTCTTTGGAGGCAGTCTCCTCATCTGTAAGCTGGGATGATCATAATTAGGTTTCCGTGTTACCGTGGGCCGTGAGTCAACGCTAGCTCTTGTTATTGATGCAATCAATCAGTCATGTATATGGAGTACCTCCTCTTTCCTTATTCCACAAGCACTTATCTGGTGCCTCTCGTGGCTGGTCATTGTGTACAGTGGGAAACAGAAGAGTGTAAGACACAGCCCCACTCACAGAGTGTTCAGTGTGGTTCAACAGACCGCAGGAACACAGGATGCAGCAGCCAGCAGCTCTTAAAGATTAAGTGCACTGGAACTGGCCAATTTTGATTGACCGCTAAAAAAATTAAGTGCCTTTAAATGTGCTCATCCTCTTCTTACCAAAGATATTTCCACCATTTTTGTTTCTTTTCCTGTGGTTTTTCTTTTGAGAACTTTTCAAAAAAGAAGAGAGAACATTATCACAAGCACCCGTGTACTGTCACTCAGAATTGAAAATGATGAATACTGTATCACTTTTGCTTGAAGTCTTTCTTACATGTAAGAAATAAGACATTTCAGATGAAGTTGATGTTCCTTTTGGCCTCCTGCCCTCACTCAGTTCATTCTCTTCTGCCCTTCTCCAGAATTGTGTATGGATTCAATCACCTTTGTGTAGTACATCCTTAACAGTGCACAGCATTGGTTTCTATGCTTTTTTTTTTTAAGTTTTTTTTGTTTTTTTTATTTATTTCTAGGAGAGAGAGAGACAGCGTGAGCAGGGGAGGGTCAGAGAGAGAGGGAGTCACAGACCGAAAGAGGCTCCAGGCTCTGAGCTGGCAGTCAGCACAGAGCCCGACGCGGGGCTCGAACCCACGAACCGCGAGATCATGACCTAAGCGAAAGTCGGACGCTTAACCAACTAAGCCACCCAGGCACCCCTCGTTTCTATGTTTTAAACTCATATGAATGTCCTTCTGTGCTAATTATGAAACTTACTTTTTCATTTCATACATGTTTCTGAGAATTGTCCTTTTTTTAATGTTTATTTATTTTTGAGAGAGAGACGGAGTGCGAGCGGGGAAGGGGCAGAGAGGGAGGGAGACACAGAATCTGAAGCAGGCTCCAGGTTCTGAGCTGTCAGCACAGAGCCCGATCCAGGGCTTGCACCCATGAACTGCAAGATCATGACCTGAGCTGAAGTCGGATGCTTAACCCACTGAGCCACCCAGGCGCCCCAAGAATTATCCATACTGATTGATGTAGCTCCGGTGGCTTCTTTTCCAAGGCACAATACTGATCCGTTGTTTTATTTAACCAGTCGCTACGGATGGATGTTTCCATCATTGACTCTCTTTGGCTGTTCAAAGTAACACAGAAATGAATATCTTTGCACACGTGTCCTTGTACATTTGTACAAGGGCTTTAATAGAGGACACACCTGGAAACAAACTTCCTATGGTCCTTACCAGTGCTTTACAAACTGTCACTCACGTTCCATACTAAAAACAGACACGAATCAAGTTGAAATTGGGCAAATTTTCTCTACGTTTCTTGACCTCTATAGAACCAGTCTCTTATTTTACAGCAATAAATGATCCTAAGGAAACATGCGTGGGTCCTTGTGACACATCCTACACAAGCGAGCAGAAGCAGAGTGGTGATAGCCGGTCAGACAGTCGCTTAGCACAGCAGAGAGACGACAAGGAAGACCAGGGCCCCAGGTAAGCGGACGTACTGCTGCTGCCGGTTCTGGCGTACATTTACTGAGGAAGGAAGACTGTGTGATCGGCCCTTGGTATCAATAAGGAAACTGAGGCTCCTGGGGATAAAAGAGCTGGCCTGGTGTCTGAGAATTCATCGCGGAGCCAGGGCGGCGCTGCCTCTATAACCCAACTAACCACAACATATTAAACTTTAATGCCAGACCCGGAGAGAGAAATACCGGTGGTTCTTGATGACACTGTCGAAAGTATTTTTATTAGAACGTACATTGCAGTTTTTAACAGTGCTGAAAGTAATGATATTGGATGAGGCCCTGAAAAGGGGATAGTCAAAAAAAACAAAAAAACAAAAAAACAAAAAACCTTAAAATAGTAATCAGGCAAAAAAAAAATGTTATCAGGCAGGTAGGATATTTTGGAATCTGGGGAAGAAATGGATGTGGTAAAGAATTTTGGGGATGTTTCCCAGATGACGAATTGCAACAAATTTCTTTTTCATGTTCCGCATTTAACAGGATGACTAAAAGTTTTCTGCAAAAACTCTGCAAGCAGCACAAGCTTTATATTACCCCAGCATTGAACGACACGCTGTATTTACACTTTAAAGGTAAGGACCTGGGGCGCCTGGGTGGCTCAGTTGATTAAGCGCCTGACTTGAGCTCAGGTCATGATCTTGTGGTTTGTGGGTTTCAGCCCCACGTCGTCAGGCTCTGTGCTGATGTCTCAGAGCCTGGAGCTGCTTCGGATTCTGTGTCTCCCTGTCTCTCTGCCCCTCCCTGCTTGCCGTCTGTCTGTCTCTCTCAAAAATAAACATTAAAAAATTTTTTAAGGTAAGGACCTGGTAGAGATGTGTCACGTCAGGCAGAAGGTATAAAAACTGTCTTGCTGAATTTAGTGGAGATTTGCAGCAAAGCAGCAGCCTAGTGGTAAGCACTGGGCTTGGACGGGATACATGTTGAAAGATGAGGGTGATAGGTGGCTTCTGGGCCCGAGTGGTGTGACAAGTGGCGTCCCGGAGGGCTCAGGCTTGGTGTGCAGAATCATGCGTCACCCCCCTCTGGGGTTCGTGGACAGGGCTGTTCCCAGCAATGAGGAGGAGGAAGGATGGCTTCCACTTCCTCTGAGCTCAGAGTGGCTGACCTGTTTCATGGGTCCTCTGTGTGTTCCCTATTTAGTGCGTAAACCTTTACTTAGAGTCTTCTGTACAGAGACTCATGTGGAGAAGATGCCCTTGGTGTCCTGAGGGACAGGACAGCCACTGCGGGCCACGCTGTTCCAGGAAGGCCCACAGGGCTCCAGCAGCACATGCTCCTTAAAGAAATGCAGGGAGGGGTGCCTGGGGGGCTCAGTCGGTTAAGCGTCTGACTTCGGCTCAGGTCATCATCTCACGGTTCGTGGGTTCAAGCCCCGCGTCGGGCTCTGTGCTGACAGCTCAGAGCCTGGAGCCTGCTTCCAATTCTGTACCTCCCTCTCTCTCTGACCCTCCCCTGCTCACACTGCCTCTTTCTCTCTCTCAGAAATAAATAAAACATTAAAAAAAAAGAAAAGAAATTCAGGGACTCCTAACTGGTCTTCTGGCTTCCACGTTGCTCCCTCCAAAATTCTGCACCCAATGTATGCGTCACAGGGCATGGGATGACGTCACAGGCAGATCCCAGGGGACCCATATTTAGGAGGTGGGAAGAAGGGCACCCAACACGTTGGACGTCATGGAGAGAGTCAGAAGGTACAGTCACTAGGAGGGAGATGTGCCTCGATTCTCTCCTGCGGCCGTGGACCAAATTGTCCCCGAACCTAGCGCCTAAAGCAAATTCATTATCTGGAAGTTTCTCAGGGCCGGGAATCTAGGAACAGCTCACCTGAGGCCTTCTGGCCCATCAGCGATGCTGTAGGTTTTTAAGCAACAACACTCCTTCGGGCAAGAACATAAATAACTGTTTAAGGGCTTCCCCCAGGAGCGGATGAATGATGAATTACAAGTTGACAATGAGTTACTAAAGAAAATGTTTGTTTTCTCACTTGAAATTTGCCTCATAAAACGGAAACCTGGAGCGAAACCAGACCCGCAGTTAGCACTCGCTCTCAGCCTTCGCCGGGTCCCCGCGCTCATGGTGCGGCTTCCCCGGGCCCGTCTCTTTCCTGAGCTCAGCCTGCTTTCCTCTGGCTCATTTCAGACAGGCCCCCCCTCGTCGCCTCCACCCACCCCCAGCCGTGAAGGGGAGGCGGTGGCTGCAGGGCTGGACACGGACCACCTCTCTCCACTGCAGCCAGCAGAACCTCCCAGGGTGTCAGAGTTGGCTCAGCTTGGCTGAGTGTGACCGGCCCAGAAAAATGAAGGGCTGAGACTGGCCGCCCAGGAAGCCATGGGGCACTACCAGGAGGGGAATGGCCCTCAGAGACAAGTGGCCTTGGTGTTGCTACAGGAAGGAGGTGTGGCTGTTTGGGGGGGGGGAGGCAAAACCAAGGGTGACCCCTCCCCCCAGCTCCTCTGACGCCCCCTCCCTTCTCACCAGGTTTTGATCGCATCGAGAACTTGGAAGAGTACACGGGGCTGCGTTGCCTCTGGCTCGAGTGCAACGGGATACAGAGAATCGAGAATCTCGAGGCCCAGACCGAGTTGCGTTGCCTCTTCCTGCAAGTGAACTTGCTTCACAAAATCGAGAACTTAGAGCCTCTCCAGAAACTGGATGCTCTCAACCTGAGCAACAATTACATCAAGACCATCGAAAACCTCTGTAAGATGCCCCGTGGGGGAGGGGGGGCATCTTCCTCTCGGCCACGACGCCCACCCCTCACCCCTGGGGGCGGTTTGAAAGGGTTTTTATACCTTTGTCGCTTACTTCTGCCGCCCCCACTCACCTTCTAGCCTGCCTGCCCGTCCTCAACACCCTCCAGATGGCCCACAATCACTTAGAGACCGTGGAAGACATTCAGCATCTAAAGGAGTGTTTGAAACTGTGCGTCCTTGACCTGTCCCACAATAAGCTGAGTGATCCGGAAATCCTGAGCGTGCTGGAGAGCATGCCTGATTTGGTAAAACGCGCACACGCTCCAAACTCGCCCTTCTTCAGCTACCAAACCTCTTTTCCCGCCTCTCCTCAGGCCTCTTCCTTCCCCCAGCCCGTCCTCTGGGGTTTCTAGCCGGAGTGGCTTAAATGCCAGACACCCCTTTCACCCCCGCACATCGGAGCGCGGGCCTCTGGCAGATGCGGACTTCCTTTCTTGACGGGTACAGTCACCCTCCGAGGGCCCCTCCCACTCGTCTGCCAGCGAAACCGGCTCCTTTTTTAGGACTTTGTCACATTCCCGACTGGGTTGATGGCGCCCCCGGGGTGTCAGTTAACAGGCTCTGCTGGACCGTATTTCTTGTGAAATGCTGATGGAGCCGGAGGCTTGGTCCCATCGAGCCCCAGGGTTTTACGTGGAGGCGTGTGGCTGCGTCACACCACAGGGCCTGTCCTGTCGGGTGGCCTCTGTCACGTGGAACTTGACAGCCTGGTGGCCCCCAGTGTGGTCAGCCTGCTGCGGCCAGTAGAGGGCCCCCAGCCCCCCACCACCCCCACTAACCGCTCCCCCCAGATGCGTAGCAGCCACTGGACACCGCCTCCATGAGTCATCTCTTCAGGAGCCACACGGTGGCCATTGTCCAGGCCACTTGTTGATTTGCTCCTGCCACATTAGCCGGCGCGCTTCTGCATCCGGGAACCCCCTCGTCTGGTGGCTCCCCAGTATGCAGTTCACACAGACAGGGCCAGGGGGAAGGTCCGGTTCTTTCTTTTTATTCATCCGTTTTCAGAGAAAGGGCTCAAGAAGCTGGCGACCACTAATGGTGACAAGGAAGGGTTTTTCTTTCCTGCTGTCAGTATGAACTCCGGGGGTTATGGCACAGTCCTGATTTGATTCAACCCTTGCTGTCATTTAATTTTGGATATTCAAATGGCCCATCTTCGGGCCCGTGGCATCCCCTCCAGGCAGCCCCTGTGTGCTTCTGACTCGCCCCCAGCAACACTGAAGGGCTTCCCTTCTCATGTGTACATGCTGTCATGTACTGAGGAAAGTACTAGAAATCGCACCCCAAAACCCTGAGTTCTCTGACCTCTGCTTCAGGTACGGATGTGTAAGGAAAAAGTGGGTTGGTTTAAAAAAATGGTAAGCAAGTCACAGTTCAGGAACAATCTACTGAAAAGATGATCAAGAAGGACACGTTTAGACTTGCCAGCGCACAGCAGTAATACAAAGCTGTGTCGCTTAATACTTTTTTGTTTTCTTTTGCTTAACGGCCATAACAAAGGTCCGGAGACTGTGTAGAAGCCCAGGATCAAGGTGTCGGCGGGGCTGGCTTCTCCTGAGGCCTCTCTGTGGCCTGTAGACAACTATGTCGTCACAGGGTCCTCTCTCTGTGTGTGCCCTAATCCCCTCTTAAAGGACACCTGTCGCACTGGACCAGGGGCCACCCCAATGACCTCACGTAATCTGAATCACCTCTTTATTTAAAAAAAATTTTTTTTAATGTGTATTTTTGAGAGACGGAAACAGAGCATGAGTGAGGGAGGGGCAGAGAGAGAGGGAGACACAGAATCCGAAGCAGGCTCCAGGCTCTGAGCTGTCAGCACAGAGCCTGATGCGGGCTCGAACTCACGAACCATGAGATCATGACCCGAACCGAAGTCGGATGCTTAGGCGACGGAGCCACCCAGGCACCCCTGAATCACCTCTTTAAAGGCCCAATCTCCAAATTTGCCCACATTCTGAGGGTTTGAAACTGAACACATGAATTTGGGGAGGGGGACACAGCACAGTCGGTAACGTGGTCTGCTTTACAGTTACGTTGTGATCGCTTTTAAACCTCCACACACGATGCAGCCCCTTAGTGCCTGCCCCGGGGTGTGTTGCCCCCCACCCCAGTCCTGCAGGGTGGGGGGGGGCCTGAAAATACCATGAGAATGGAGAAGGCAGTATGAGAACGAAGTTTGGGGACTGCTATGTTAACTAGCTTACGGTATATTTATTTTCATCAGTAACACAAACCACTTTAGATCAGAAAACTCACGAGTTCAGACAAACTAGTTTTAAATGGTTCTCCCAGACATTACTTTGGCTGCTCATTTCTCTGAGTTTCACAGGCAGGAAAGGAGGAGACGGTGTGTAAGGGGAGGGGGAGGGGGGTAAGTGCCACGCCGGTCCAACTGCTTCCAGCACTTTCCATCCTTTCCCCCAAGTCAGTGCTTCCTGGCCGCCTGGCCGCTGTGTACGCTTTCTTAAAGCGGGTGCTGGCTGGGGAAGAGAATGATCAATAAGATGGGGACTAATGTCAGCAAAAGAGCTTGGGTGAGCAAAATAATGGCCTTGCTGACTTGGAAAAGCCTCCGGACGTGTTCTCCGAGGCTGTTCTGGAAGGACAGTGAGATTTCAGGTCTGGAGTTCAAGTGCAAGAAAGGGCCGCTCCATTGTCATCAGTTCTGATGGCACGAAAGTGAGGAAACCCCCTCTGGCTTCCCTGATGAAGCCACGAGCAGGTGGCACGGGCACGTGTGTTGTGTTTTGTTCTCAGGGCACCGCACGAGTGAAGTATTTCAAGGACACCCCTGGGGCGCCTGGGGGCTCAGTCGGTTAAGTGTCCGACTTCGGCTCAGGTCATGATCTCACAGTTCGTGGGTTTGAGCCCCGCGTCGGGTTCTGTGCTGACAGCTCAGAGCCTGGGGCCTGCTTCAGATTCTGTGTCTCCCTCTCTCTCTGACCCTCCCCTGCTCATGCTCTCTCTCTCTCTCAGAAATAAAAACATTTAAAAAAAATTTTTTTTTTTAAAAAGGACACCCCTTAGTAACCTCTCTGACTCATGCTTACAGCGAGTACTGAATCTGATGGGAAACCCCGTTACCAGGCACATTGCTAACTATCGAAGGACAGTCACCGTTCGACTCAAACATCTAACGTATCTGGATGACAGACCAGTTTTCCCAAAGGACAGGTAAGGAGGGGGAAGCCTTTGGATCACATTTTAATACGAAGTTGTTGAGCACCCTGAATGGCACACGTGTGCAAATTTCTCACTTGTGACCATTTTCACACATCATCACATCTTCTTAGGAAAGAAGCTTGATGGCCACATAACTTTATAATAAGAAATTCCCGGGGCGCCTGGGGTGCTGAGTCGTTTGAGCGTCCGACTTCAGCTCAGGTCATGATCTCACGGTTCGTGGGTTCGAGCCCCGCGTCGGGCTCTGTGCTGACAGCTCGGAGCCTGGAGCTGCTTCGGATTCTGTGTCTCCCTCTCTCTCTGACCCTCNGAGGAGGTGACCTGACCCACCAACACTCAGTCTTGTGTCAAAGCCGTGCTCCTGTGTCTGAAAATCAGTGTGCAGACCGCTGGGCGTGAGGAATCACATCCTACTTCAGTTCTCACAGGCCAGACACACGCGGACGGGCCGTCTGTGCAGAACCGACTTAACATCAGCTGTTTCAGAACACAGGCTGGCGAGGGGGCCCGGGGGCTCAGTCGGTTGAGCGTCCGACTTCGGCTCAGGTCATGATCTCGCGGTTCGTGGGTTCGAGCCCCGCGTCGGGCTCTGTGCTGACAGCTCGGAGCCTGGAGCTGCTTCGGATTCTGTGTCTCCCTCTCTCTCTGACCCTCCCCTGCTCACGCTGTCTCTCTCTCTCTCTCTCTCAAAAATAAAACATTAAAAAAAAAAGAAATTCCCTTATTTTGAGCACTAGTTTATAGATTTTTTTTTTCATAACCCCGATGACTCCTTGCATGTGAGTCTCGATCTCGCTGCTACTGATTTCCGTAAGGTGGAGCTCCAGGAGGTATATTATTGGCTTAAAGACTGTGGTTTGAGCCTTTTCAAAGGTGCTTGTAAATACTCTCTAATTGTTTTCTAGAAAGTTTGTACCAGTTCATAACTTCAACAGACAAAGCCATGTGAATGAAGTCTTTGCCGGGCTAACGGATGAGTGAAGACTGTATCTTGTTTTATCTTGGGCTGTGTGGTCGGGCGTCCTCGCCGTGTGTGTCGGGCAGGTGGAGTTTTGGAGGCCTTTTTCTTACTGGTTCGTAAGAACTCTTTTTTATATTCAGAGTATCAAACCCAGGGCGGCCGTATGCATTGGCACGACTTTTACCCGTGTTTTTAATCTAGGTCCCTTGTCATTCTTACAGTAAGCCCTCCGTAGGACGGGCTGCTAGTAGTATGTTCTAGAACTCACAAAGTGAAATCCAACTAACAAATGTTTCCCATAGAAGCAAGAGCCTCCACTCCAGCCAGGTGAGAAAACGAACCCACCTGCTTCTGGGAAGTCGGGCGGAGGTGCACCCTGAATTCTGTTCCCTCGGAGGGGCTCACTCACCTCCCCGGCCTCATGTTCCTCATCCAGAAGGTGGGGACGGTATGACCATCGAGACCTTGAAACATGTGGGGCGTGAGCGGAGCGGGGCCCAGAGGAGGAGAGTGGGAGCCCCACCTGGGGCGATATTTCTTTTCTGTAGACACATCAGCCTCGGACAGATCTGTTTCCTTCCTTAGGGTCTGTCTTTCCCCATAAGAGGGCAGCTCTAACAGACTGAGTATTGTCACCTCTTATGTCACCTGCTGCTGTACGGCCGGCCCCTAGAACAATTCCCCCGTTCAAAGTGTACAACCCAGCGCTTTCTAGTATAGTCAGAGTTGTACAGCCACCACCACACCAATTCTAGAATATTTTTATTGAAAGTAACCCTTACTCATTAGCTGATATTCCTCATTCCCCATCTGCCTGCCAGCCCCTGGCAACCAGGAATCCACTTTCTATCCCTGTGGGTTCTTTGCGTTCAGGGTGTTTCATGTAAGCGGCTTCACACCGCATGTGGTCTTGGTGATGGGCTCCTTTCACTGAGAGTAATACTTTCAAGGCTCATCCCCACAGAGCACAGATCAATGATTCGTTCCAAAACAATGTCACAAAGTAATAGTCCACCCGGAAACGCCACATCGTATTTACCCATCTGTTGGTGGACTTTTGGGTTGCTTCCACTTGGGGTGCTCGTGAAGGGTGCTGCGTATTTACCCATCTGTTGGTGGACTTTTGGGTTGCTTCCACTTGGGGTGCTCGTGAAGGGTGCTGCGACCAACATTCGTGTGTGGCTTTTTGCGTGGGCGTTTGTTTTTATCTCAGTTGAGTGGATACTTAGGAGCATGACGCTGGCTTGTATGGGAAGATTACATTTGTTTTTATTTTATCTTTAATTTTTTAACATTTATTTATTTTTGAAAGACAGAGACAGAGTATGAGCAGGGGAGGGGCGGAGACAGAGACACAGAATCTGAAACAGGCTCCGGGCTCCGAGCTGTCAGCACAGCTGTTCGATGTGGGGCTCGAACCCACGAACTATGAAATCATGACCTGAGCTGAAGTCAGACGCTTAACCGAATGACCCCCCCCAGGCCCCCTGGGAAGATGACTTTAGTCTTGAAGTTGCCAGGCTCCTCCCTTCCAGAGCGGCAGCACCGCCCGCATCCCAGCGAGTGACTCAGCGTCCTCGGGGGCATCTGGCACCAGTGGTGGGGGACTTCAGTTGTTCTAATTGGCGTGACATGGGATCTCATTGCTGTAATTTGCAATTCCCTGATGCTGAGCTTCTGTGCCATCTGCCTGTCTTCTTTGGTGATGTGTCTGGGTCATCTGCCGGTTTTATTTTTTTATCACGTTTCTTTTCTTTTTTCTTTTCTTTTTTGACTTGGCATAGTTGTTTGTTTGGGATATAAGCCACTTCCCAGTTATCCTTAAATATTTTCTCCCCATCTGTGGCCATCTGTGGCTTCTCCTTCCATTTAAAAAATTTTTTCTATTTTTCAGTCGTGCGGTCTTTGTGTTAATGAGTCGTGCGGTCTTTGTGTTAAGGATTAATAATAATCCTTATGGATTCTACATGCACATCCCTCAGCAGGCGTACGATTTGCAAATACTTCCCTACATTCTGTGGGTTGCCTTTTTACTTCGTTTATGGTATTCTGTGCGTGACAAACATTTCTAATATCGACAGAGTCCCGATTTCTCTGTTTTTCTTTTGTCGCCGCCGCTTTTGACAGCACGTCGAGAGGGCTTTGCCAACCACGAAAGGCGGAAGTGCACACGTGCACATGTGTCACCTTGCATCCTTGCGGCCACACATTCCATGTGCCTTCAGCGTGATTTGGGGGAAGTGAGCGAGTCTGGTCAGACAGCACATGTTTTGAATTTACTTTTAACCCATGAAAATGGAAACCTCCGCAATTTCTGGTCTTTTTCTTTGTCCTCATTGACAGAGCTTGTGCGGAGGCCTGGGCCAGGGGAGGGCTCGCAGCTGAGAGGCAGGAGAGAGAGCACTGGGAGAGCAGGGAGAGGAAGAAGATCACCGACAGCATCGAAGCCCTAGCGATGATGAAGCGGCAGGCAGAGGAGAGAAAACTGCGGAAAGCCAGCTGGGAGGAAGGTGCGCGCCCTGGCCTGAAGCACTCAGGGCTCCGTGTAGACTAGAAATCTGGGCTGGCCAACTTGGTCTTTCAGTTTGGGGATTATTTTTTTTAATGTTTATGTATTGACAGAAAAAAAGAAAGAGTGTAAGTAGGGAAAGGGTCAGAGAGAGAGAGAGAATCCCAAACGGGCTCCGAGCTGTCCCCTCCCACTCTTTCTCTCTCAAAATAAATAAATAAACTTACAAAAGAGCAAACAGGAAAGCACCAGTAATAACAATGGTAATAAGAACCAGTCTGTGTTTTGTATGAGCATCTCCTGGCTTTTCCCCACGCGTGTAACGTGTGCGCGTGTTTATAGAACAATGGCATGATTCCATTGCTTTCTACCCGCTGTTCTGAATTACCAGAACATATTGTCCATAAAGTAGACATTCTCCTATTGCATTTTTTTTCCTTTTTCAAACTTCTTCTTTGAGTATTTCTCAAATTTCCAGAAAAGCTTCAAGAAGAGAAAAACAGATGTCTTGTGTCCATTTAGATGCAATGGTGTTCACCGTTTACACACACACACACACACACACACACACACACACACACACACACTCCCGTGGGGCCGAGCCATCTGAAAGCAGAGGGAGACGTCACAGCCCCCGTGCGCACCCCCTCAGAGCCTCCCGCGCTGTTCTCTTCAAGGCCACGTGCTGTCCCGCCAGACGGATGTGGCGAGCGGCCTCTGTGGATACTCAGCTCTGCTGATTCACGTTGACGGACACCATCCCCGTGTCCCCGACAGTCCCCTGAGCTCAGCCCCCGTTCGCAGGTCCCCGCGTGTCCCCGAGAGAGGCCCAGACCCCCTCATGCTCCCAAGAGGGCTCCCGTTCACCTTTGGACTTCTCTTGCCCAGACGGGAAGGGTGACGTGGATGCCACCGTGGAGGGGACGGAAGAGCCTGGTGAGGCGGGAGGAAGGCGGCAGAAAATGGAGCTGTTTGTCACGGAAAGCTTCGAGGCCAAGGATGAGCTTTTCCCAGAAGAGTCGAGTCTCACAGAGGAGCTGCCGGAGGAGGCCAATGGAGGCACTGAAGAGCAGGGGCCAGGGGGGGCACCCCCGGAGGAAGCCCCGAAGCCGGCCGCCCCCGGAGCTGCCTGCGAAGGTAAGGAGCGAGAGCCACACGGACGCGCCCCTGGGACCGACGCACCCCCCGGGACCGCAGCCTCTGAGCCACGCGCCTGGGGGGCCCGGGCTGCACCTCCCCGATTCTGAGTCTTCACGATGAAGTATACAGGCCTCATTTTCTGGGGCAGCGCTGCCCGTGGGAACGCACTGGGGCCCTCACTGCATTTTCTAGTAAACAAAGGCAAAAGAAATGGGAGATACACTAAAGCTGTACTTTTTTTGAATCCATCATACCTAAAATATAATCATTTGCAGCGCCTGGGTGGCTCAGTCGGTCAGGCATCCAGCTTCGGCTCAGGTCATGATCTCGCTGCTCATGACTCAGAGCCCCACGTCCAGATCTGTGCTGACAGCTCAGAGCCTGGAGCCTGCCTCACATTCTGTGTCTCCCTCTCTTTCTCTCTCTCTCTGCCCCTCCCCTGCTTATGTGTACTCTCTCTCTCAAAAATAAATTTTAAAAAAATTTTTAATTAAGAAAGTACGTAGATGGGGCGCCTGGGTGGCTTAGTCGGTTAAGCGTCCGACTTTCGCTTAGGTCATGATCTCGCGGTTCATGGGTTCGAGCCCCGCGTCGGGCTCTGTGCTGACTGCCAGCTCAGAGCCTAGAGCCTGTTTCAGTCTGTGACTCCCTCTCTCTCTGACCCTCCTCTGCTCACGCTGTCTCTCTCTCTCTCCTAGAAATAAATAAAACATTAAAAAAAAAAAAAGAAAGTACGTAGATAATCAATTAAACAATGTAAAATTCTATTTTTAAAGTTTATCTTGAGGGAGAGCGGGCGCACAGGTGCACACACAAGCAGGGGAGAGGCAGGGAGGAGAGACAGAATCCCAAGCAGGCTCCAGGCTCTGAGCTGTCAGCACAGAGCCCGACGCGGGGCTCGAACCCACGAACCGTGAGATCACGACCTGAGCCACGATCAAGAGTCAGACACTTAACCGACTCCGCCCCCGAACGATACAAAACTCTTAAGGAGATACTGTTATTGGTGCTGCGTCTTCCAAGGCCAGCGTGTATCTGCCCTGCACAGCCCAATGCGGGTGCTAACTTCTCAGTGGTTCAAGCGAAATGTAGCCGCCCTGAAAAGAATGAGTTGTCCCACGCTGCTTCCATTTCAAATTTTAAATGAATGAGAAATACAAACAAAGACTTCAGCTCCTCAGGAGTGCCGGCCACATCTCACGCGCTCGGTAGCCGGACGCAGCTGTGGCTGCGGAAGCGACGACGCAGATCTGGGCAAAGCAGGCCGCCTGGCAGGTGCCGGCCATGCTCCTCGGGTCCGGCTGACTCGCAGAGAAATCCGGGACTCGCCCGGGCCGCTGCCCTGTGCTGTGGCCCTGCTGAAGTGAGCCGGACCTGGAAAATGCCCCGTCTATGGGGCCTTGAGGGGCAGGGAACATTTCACCCCCCCGAGCAGCCTTGGGGGTCTGGTCGGGGAGCTCGGCTGGTCTGGCCCAGAACACAGGGCCCCCAGCCACAGGGGCAGGGGCCATAGCCCAGAGGCCAGCACCGGTCAATCTCTTTCCACCTAGGGGATCTGAACAGAGCAGACCTTCCTGGATGAGTCACCCACCAGACCCCCACCGTGCTCCCCTCCCCCAAATGCTGCCCCCCACCCCCGCCCACGGGGACTTAGACCCCCCGGTAAGACCGGAACAGCCCATTGTCTTCGGCACGCTGTGTGTGGGAGATAAAAGTTCACTTCAGGAAGGAGGGTCGATACAGGGAGGGGTGGACCTGACCCCGTCGGGAACTCAGGGACGCCATCCCTGCTGGCGCCCGAGACCCCAGAATTTCCCAGGAAAGAGTTACGTCTGAAGGGCCTCGGGCAGGGAGACAAAACACTGCTCTCCGGTGCTCAGCTCGCCCCTCTTCAGACGCCGGTGACCCCTCTTCAGGCGCCAGTCACCCCTCTTCAGACTTTGCCACGAGGCTGGAGTGCTTGGATTTGCTCTGAGTAACCTCTTCCTTAGGAAACACTCGACTGCTTTGTCTGCCCGCGGCCTGGCTTTGCTGGATGGGGCTGTTAAGCCCTACGGCCTGGTCGCCCTTGTTCCCTTGGAGAGAATGTACCAGAAGGGCCCGTTTTTCCTCCGGCTTCCCACAGGTGGACACAGGACAGGCCTTGTTGTCTGAAAGGCACAGGCCAGGCGCGCCCACACGGGGAGGCTGACCTTCCTGAGTGGACAGAGGGCATCTGTGAAGAGGGCGGGTTCGCGGCGGCGGCCGGGGTCCACGGCGCGAGCCACGAGCCACCGGTCATCTGACTCGCGTGGGTGCTCGGTGGAGGCCAGAGCGTCCCAGGCCGGGTCCTGGGCGGCCTTCCAGCCACCTTGGGAGGTACATGCTGTCATCTTGGCCTCACTCCATGGAGGTGTTAACAGAGGCTCAGAGAGGTGACGTAACTTGCTCCCAGGTTGAGAGCCGGCCAGCAGTGGTGGTGGAGACTGAAGCCAGGGCCTCCTCCAGAGCCCACACCGGATTCCGGATTCCTCCCTCCCTTGGTGGGGCTGCGGCCTTTGCTTTCCGGGCCCCCTGCGCATCCTGAGAACTGAGCTGGGCTGGCAGAGCGAGGAGACGCTTCTACCACTTTGATTCAAATGCCTCGGCCCCAAGAAAGGCAATTCTAAATATAAAAGCCTTTGTCTAAAAAATTACTTTTCCACTCACCTTTCCTATGTCGGACGATCTTTCCTCATAACAGAAGGTCGGAGAGAATGAAGAGGTAACCGTGTGACCAGCCCTGCTGACCTTCCTGTGCAGATTCTGAGATGACACCGTGCACTCAGGAGCCAGCGTGGGCCGCCTGAGTCACTCCTCACCCCACCGGAGTCCACATCTCCAACCGGAAGTCACATCTCCGGACAGAGGGAGCCGGAAGGAGAGTGGAATGGACACCACCCATGACCATCGAGGAAATCTCGGCACCCTCCGCCTGTCCCTAGAGGGGCTTCCGCTGCCCCCCGGTGGTCACGAAGACGTTCCGAGAATGACCCAAAGGGTTCACTAAGACTCACTGTGCGCAGGCGAGGCAGCGCCGTTTCTACACAGACGCCCTGAGATCAAAGCCACGTCCAAGCCTTCCATCAGCTACGTGACCTCAGGCACATCCCAAAACCGTTCTGCGCCTGTTTCGGCCTCTACAAAATGAAAACAGTCTCTTTGCCACGGTGCGAAAGCGATGCGCCCAATAATCGTCCGTCTCTTTCCCTGCCTCACCTTTTCCCAAAGCAAAGCCTAAGCAGATGGTTTTTTAGGAAACGAAAGGAGGCTGCCCCTGCCTTGACCATGAGCTCCCGGTGGCTGGGGGGTCAGAGACCGCGGTGCCATGAACAGAACAAGAGGCGTAGGAGGAAGGGCTGGCCTGGCGGGGAGGCCGACCATGGTAGTTATTACAAGGGTGGAATCCGAGAAGCCACAGGGATGGCCATGTGGAGACCGTGACCGCTGGGCCTAGTGAGTGACGATCCAGAGGGCCAGCCCGGCCCCTCCGCAGCACCAAGCACACAAACCCTCTGCCCGCCTCCTTGCTTCGTGCTGGCCTGGTGCCCACTGCGGCTGAGCCACACTGGACCTAAGCGGGACGAGAGGAGTTGAGCCGTTGAGCTCTAACAACTGCCGCCGTGACCCTGGAGAGTGAGCCGAGGGCAGGACCACAGATCAGGCCTGGGGGACCTGGGAGAGGGGAGCCTCGAGTAGAAGGAGCCCATCCCGGCTCCACGTGCCCCCCACCCCGCGTAATGACATTATCAGCGGGCGCCCCTGACACTCGTGATGTGACCGGGGACAGGCAGCCCCAGCGGGTGGTGGGCTCAGCCCCTCCTGGGCAGGGCCGTGACCCTGGCCTCCCCAGCTGGCCTCCCCTGCCTCTCCCCAGCCGGCCTTTATCTCCTTGATAATCAACGGCCCCCACAAACCCTTCTCCCAGGCGCCTGCGTATTCCACCTGCTCACCGGCTGGTACGTTTATCTTCGCAGGGTCACTGCCAAGTTCCAGCAAGAGGGTGGCTTCTTCCTCTCCCTCCTCTTTACACGGAGCCCTGTCCTAATCTGGGGGTTCTCGCGGCTTCTGTCCCAGGGCCTGGCCTCCCCCAGCTCCTGCGCTTGTCAGCCTGGCCACCGCGCGTGAAACCAGCCCCAGGGTGACTAACTGTGTTGCTGTCCTTAGACTCGGGGCCCCGGACTGCGGCCACTGATGGTGCATTAAGCACAGGACTTGCCGGAGACGAGGATCTGGAAACCGTCAAAGCGGAAGCAAAGGAGCAGCTCTTCATTGACGTACGTAAAGAGCTGCATCTGGAGAGAGGCGTCCGCCTCGCCGCTGGTGCCAGGTCGCGTCCAAACCTTCAGCACCCTCAGTCCCCAAAGCGATCTCTGTGGCCGACGGGCTTGACCTTCACACGCTGGCGAGGTTCACTCCGGACCTACGGGGCAGACCCGCCTCTGACACGATCTCCCGGGGGGCTCGCACACGCGCACGTTCCAGCCTGACAGGTGCTGGCCCAGAGGCCCCCCGGGGGGCATGTCGCCGGCGGTCCCGTCCCACCAGCCTCACGTGGAACTGTGGAGAGCGTGACATGTGTCACGGAGCCTCTACTCCTCCACGGACAGCTGTCCAGCCAGCGGCAAATGCCGCCGTCCCGGCCCGCGGCCGCCCTGGCTTCCTGCCTGGGGGCCTGTGTGGCCGTGAGAATGACGCCCCTCCTCCCAGATGCGCCCTTTCGGGACCTGCCGTAAATACTCTGGCCCTCGGGAACGGGAACCGTGGGAACTCACACATTTTGTCACAATCCCTAGGAAGGGTGTGTGGGGGTGGGGGGTAAGGAGCAGGGAGGCGTTTCTCACCCCGTCAGCCTCATGCCCAGCGGGCAGCTGGTGCTCCCTGGCGTCGCCCACGAGTGGGCCCCTCAGCTTAAACCCATGCACGTAGCTGTGCCTCCCCCTGCCTCCTCCTTGGTAAGCCTCGATTTCATGTGGGTCAGTAAGAGTTAAACTGCGCACGGTCAATGTCCAGAGCGGGCCTCTAGTGCTCTGAGCCTATATATACTAAGGAACAAAACAGGATTAATTGGAGAAGCAGCCACACACGTGAAGATGGCCAATTCCTAGGGTTCTGACTCCGCCTGGCACTGTTCTAAACAGCAGGCGTGTTGATTGACTGAACCTTCCAAACCTCTACGAGGTGGTAGGTACCATTATCATCCCCGTTTTGCAGATGACGGGATTGAGAAACAGAGAGGTTAAGTGACTTGCCCAAGGCCACACAGCAGGAATACAAGACCAGGCAGTCTGGCCGCCGAGCTCACCATCTAACCGCACACGTGCTGCTTGCCTCACGTGCTGCCCCAGGGGCCGTAGATGAAGCAACAGACGACACCCAAGCCTCCTGGGGAGGGTGGTCCGGGCCATGCTTCCTTCAGACGGCACAGAGGCCTGGGACTAACTTGTACACTCGGGGTGCCTGTGGTTTGGGGCCCATCACTTTCCGCAGAGGACGTGGCAGCGTCTCTAATGCCACAGGGAAGCGGAGCGAGAGGTAGACAGACATTCCTGCAAACCTCGGTCGCTGTCACTGCTGAGGTGTGGGCTCCTGATGCGCGTAGTCGGGAGCATGCACACTTGTCCGCCGGGTCCTTCCTCGTTTCTCCGGCGCACTGTGCTTGCACACCACGCGGGCTCACGGGCCGCGCGCGCACCTGCCTTGCCTACGTGTGCGTCGCCGGGTGACAGGCACTGTCTGCCTTCCAGGACCTGCCCGACTTGGAGGACATGGATGCCGGGGAGCCTCCGGACGGCCAGGACGAGGTCACGGGCCCCGCCTTCCCGCACGAGCCTCATGTCATGTCGCCCCAGTCCTGTCACTGACGGGGCCCCGCCAGGCGCTCCCGCCCCACAGCACTGCGCCCTCGGCCGGCCCGCACCTGCGAGGTCTTCCTGAGGGCACATTCCGTCACGACGTCTAGCACCTGCTTCTCGTACATAATGACCTGACGACACGTCTCTGTCCTTCCGGGGTGTCTGTCCCATAGCGACACGCAGGCGGGGAAGGGCAGTGTCCGCGGCAGGATGGGGAGCTCTCCCAGGTGCACCCGAGCCACCTCGCTCGGCATCACCGGGGCCTGAGGGAGAGGAAGGCCTAGGACACCGTCTCCGCGCGGAAGCTCGTCACGAAGGAAGGAAACACACACGAGACTGCCGTCCCCACGGGGGCCGCATCTCCAAGGGGGCCGATGTGGGCCGAGCGTATGCCAGCCAGAGGCCGAGGCTCAGAGCAGCGCCCATCGGGAGCCCCGGGAGGGCTGGCGTGGCAGGCACAGGGTGGGCGAGGGGAGCGTGGTCACACGCAGCCGACGGGGCCGCTGAGGAGCGCGGCCTTGCTAGAGAGCTCAGCACCGCTTCGGGGGCTCGGGCCGGCCGGCCGAGGGCATCCACCCCGAGGCCCGACGTTGCAAGGCCAGGGTGCTGGGCTCCCGCGCCTGTCTCGTATGTGACGACAGAATATTCTATCAGTAGGAGAGCAGAATCAGCACTGGGCATTTGACCGTGACCGTCCTGAAAGCAGACACGTTCACACATCTTTTCTCTCTTAACAGGTGTGCGTTCCAAAGGTTACAGCCATCTCGGGCTCGGGCGACGACAGTGACCCTGAGCTGGACTACACCTCACTCCCAGGGCTGGAAAACACCCCAGACGCCCTTTCAAACATATTCGCGATCCCCAAGGACGCCCCGAGGAAGGCGGAGACGCCCTTTGCAGACCTATTTAAAGCAGCAGCAAAGAGGGACTTGGAACCCCGAAGCAGGGACACCAGGCCCCCACGCCCGCTGATTCAGGAGCTCCATGACGAGGCACCTCCCCCTTCCAGTGAGGACGGGGGCAGTGACCTACTTTCCGCCTCTCCCCTAGGTAACGCCACCCCACGAGGCTGGGAGGGTGGGGAAGCGAACCGCTTACCCCAGACCCAGCGAGGGGAGCCGGTGGGTTGGAGGGCCAGTTGCAACAGAACACAGAGACCGTGGTAGGTCGCGTCTGTTCACGGCTCTGACGTCACTACCTGCTGCTTGCTGGGCCGACATGCCGCAGGCGGACAGGCTCCCGGGTCCGCTGCCCGGGCGGGCAGGCGGGCACCTCCGGGGCTGCTGAAGGCCACGCGGATCTCAGGGGCGCGAGGGAACCTGTGTTGTCACCCGCCCCCATCACCAGCCGATCCGGGGACACCATAGCTGGGAGCGTGGGACGAAAGGAGGGTGACCACCGGCCTGGGCGTGCAGTCGTCCACACAACGGTCCGGGATCTGGTGACTAAGGAGTGAGGCGGTGCGGGCGGGGCAGGGCGGTTCAGCACAGGGAGTGTCCAGCGCACCTGGCCACCGGGCGGGACACGTGAAGTCACAGATGACATACCCGCTTGGCCTGGCGCTGGGGGCCCACGCACGGCCAGGGATGCATGTTTGGGGAAAGCGGGTAACAGGCAAACGGGGTGGGGCACAGTCAGTTCAGGAAGTGTCCTCGGCATCTGCTGAACCCAGACAATTCCTGTTCTCACCCGACGCTAGCTGGTGACCAGACGGCCTTTTCTTTATCTATTTTGAGAGAGAGAAGATGCACAAGAGCAGGGGAGGGGCAGGGAGAGGGAGAGGGAGAATCCCAAGCGAGCTCTGCAGTCAGCGCAGAGCCTGGTTCAGGGCTCAACCTCATGAACCGTGAGATCATGACCTAAGCCCAAATCAGGAGTCGGTTGCTTAACCGACTGAGCCTCTGGGTGCCCCGACAGGCTCCTTTCTCAAGGGCAGCCTGCGTGGAGGACCCAAGGCCCACGTGAAGGGAGAAGCGAGGAGCTGACCACACTTCCGGGATGAGTTACCCTCCCTCCTGACCCCTAGGAAACATCACCGAGAAGAAGGAGCCGCAGTCGAGGACAGAGCTCACAGAGCCCGAGGCGGGAGTCGACCGAGACGACATTGAATTTGGCTTGGACTGAACCCCAAGGTGGCCCTTCCACCCCTAGACTAATGGTGACAGTGAACCCGTGACCAGGCCCCCCCCCGGGGGCCAGACCCCCTTTGTCCAGACTCCCTTCCTTCCAACAAGCTGCACTTCCCGAGGGCGCCCAGGGGAAGCCTGGCCTGCCACGTGGGCCTGTCACGCGGCTCCCCCCCCAGTGCAGTCCCGCCCTCAACGCACACCGTGCCACCCCATCCCGTTGTGTAAGCTGTGTAAGCGCAAGCTTCTCCCATGAGCATTACAGACACGCCAGTACCCGCCTGAGTCTGTGTGTAATTTAACATCTGCACGAGTTGTGTGCGACTCGTTCTACCAGATACCCCGGAGAACCCCTCTCCTCTTCTCTTCACGTGTGAGTGGAAACTAGATGCAATCCTGGTGTCCTGTGGCACTCGGGGGGGTGGGAGGGCTGTTCTCCCCCCCAGGACAGCAGGATCGTCCACTGAGCCACGGGCTTCAGAGGAAGTGGATTTAGGGGTCACGCATCAAACGCTATAGAATGGGATGCCACCAGCCTCAGGAACTTGATCGCTCAAAACCACGTTCAGCCGCCAAGTTTATTCAATCCCTGAATGCAGGACCGAGCATCTGGTCTAGTGAATGTTAGATCATGGCGGAAACCGCTCAACAGACGCCCACTAACCAGTACTGGCACCCACGGCCTCCCTGAGCTCGGCAGGGCACCAGCACCGTGACCCGGGTGACAATGGGGACTCGGGAGGCCCATGCAGCTCAGCCCCTCACACTTTAAAGCACAACACTGCCCCCTGGAGGGAACCCCACGACACGGACCTTCAGGCCGGGACACCAGCGCCTGGGCAGCATGTGGCTTGGACTGACCATCAAGCCACAGCGTACACAGCAGAAACGACTACTCTGCGGGTCCCGGTGCTCTGACTTGGATCCCGACCACTTTGAGGGGGGGGTCTCCTGCAGTCCCGTGCCCGCCGGGACGCACAAGGGTCTGCTCCCTGGAGATGGTCGTCTTCACTTCCCAGGCTCCGGCCGCGGAGGGCGCAGCTGTCCAGGAAGAAGGGCTGGGGGGCGGGGGGCAGCCTCCCGGGGCCTCAGAAGCCCATGCGGGGCTTCTTCCGTGGTGGCTGAGAGCCCGAGGGGGTGGCCCGGCCGCTGGAGGCCTGCGAAGAGACCACGGCGGCACCTCCCAGGGCCTGCCTTCGGAGCGGCCGCTCGGCTGAGCCTTCCTGGGAGGTCCGCTGCCTGGAGGGGGTGGCCCGAACGCCGGAGGCCTGGGAGAGGGGTGAGGAGATGCCTCCCGGGGCGTCCGCTCGGAGCGGAAGCTTGGCCATGTAGTCTCGGAGTGTCTGCTGCCGCTCCGAGGGGACACCCCGAGCCCACGGCTCCTGGGTCAACTCGTGGGAGGGTGGGGTCACTGGTGGTTGCGGCCTGGCCTCAGGGGACATCCGGCCTGGGCTGGGAGGAGGGCTGGTGGCGTCCGAGAGGTCCAGGCGGCCACTGAGCGAGGAGAAAGTGCTGGACAGCTGAGTGCGGCGCCTGGGCCGCCTGGGCCGCCTCCCGGGTCCCGAGCTCCCGCCCTGCTGCCTCTCCCACCAGGCGGCCACCTGGCCTTCCCAGGCCGCCTCCAAACGCGCGCTGAGCTCATCCTCGGGGCCTGGTTCGGGGGCGGGCGGTGGCTCCGCAGAGGGGACAGCACCCAGGTCCCTGTGCAACAGGAGCCGCCCTTCGGCCATGGCCGCTCGCAGGCCCTCTGGCCCTCTCCGCTCTCCCGGCCGCTGTTCCACGCAGCCTAGCACACGGCGGTGGGAGAAGGTGGGTGCTGTCCACACGGGGGAAGGCGGCGGCACCCCCAGCAGGGCCTTCAGCCACCGGCTGCAGCAGGCAGTGGCCTGGGGGGTCCAGGAAGCCGTGGGGGCGCGGGAGTCGGGCCCGGGGTCTGCCTGGAGGCAGAGGCGCTGGTGGAAGACGTCCCCGGCCGCAGAAAGCTGGAAGAGCAGCACGGCCGGTGTGGGGGCGGAGGGCAGCACAGTGGCAGCCAGACCTGGGGGGCGGGGGGACAGTGACGCCAGGGCGCGGTGGGGGCACAGGCCCCCCGCCCCCTCGTCCGGCTGCCCCAGCGCACCTATGGTTGGCGCTTTCAGACGTTCCTGCAGCCGCCACTGACCCTTGGGCTCCAGCAGGGGGAAGGCGGAGAGGGAGTCGCTGCTGGTGGGGAGAGACTGGGGGGGGCCCGCCAGCCGGGGCACAGAGGCCCCCGCTCCTGGAGGAAGGACAGAGACTTGAGGGGCCGCCCAGCCTCCTGTGCCTGGCCCCTCCCCCAGCCCTGCCCGGCCCTCACCTGCGAGCTGCAGCAGCCGCAGGTCCCCACCCTGGGCGCCCAGCAGCAGCGGCCACGGGTGGCCGGGTCGGGGCGGAGGCAGCAGCTGGGCAAACAGGGGGGCGGAGGGGAGCTCGTGCTTCCACTTCAGCAGGGGCACCAGGGGGAGGCGCTCATCCACCAGGTAGAGTGAGAACTGGGGCGAAAGGACACAAGAAGCAAGACCCAGGGCTGTGACTATCTGACTGGGGGCGGGAGTGGGAGGGGGACGTGACCAGACTGCAGGGGCCTATGATGGGGACGAATGTCAGGGAGGCTGTGACCAAGGGGGACCGTGACTGAGGGGGACATGGCCAAGGGGAGGACCCAGGCGGCCATGCTGGGGGTGGATGGGCATGGGGGTTGGGGGGGCCTTGGGTGAGGCCTGAGACAAGTGTCTGATGAGGCAGGAAGCTCTGTGTGCCGCCCCTGCTCTCAGATGAGCTGGAGCTCCAGAGCTGTCCCAGCACTGTGACCCCCGGCCAGCCTCTCCCACCCCCCACCCCCCCACGGCTAGCGCCACATGGCACAGGAGGCATTTCCCGGGTGCGTTAGTCACCCGGAACCCCACACAGGGACAGGGTCTCAGGAGAGGCGCAGAGGAGTCTTGTCACAGAAACCCACCGGGCCTTCCCCGGGCCCTCCCCAAACCCGCCCCAGCCCGGGACCTATGCTGGAGACACACCTGCAAACAGCCCAGGGTCCTGCAGGGTGCGGGGCGGGCCCTCGGGGGACCCTCAGACGCCCCATGACACCCCACGTTTCTTCCCTCCCCTGGGCCATCCCTGGGGCCACCTTCAAGCTCCTGCCCCCCCATCCCCCCACCCTCCCCACCTGTCAGCACATTTCAGATTCCTTCCCCTCTGGGCCAGTGCAGGGGGGAGGAGGGAAGGCTGCTCACCTGGGTAAGGATGAGGTGGAGCGTGGGGTGCAGGGGCTCGGGGCCACACTCCCCCAGGCACCGCGTCAGCAGGACACGCTCCCCCTTCTGGCACGCTGCTTCTGCCCCCCCACGGAAGAGCAGCAGACCACAGCCCGGTGGGCCCTGGGGAAGGGTCCCGGGTCAGCCCTCCCACAGCCTGGGGGCTGCGGGGAGACCCCTGCCAGGCGCCCTCCCCGGCCCTGCCCTCCCCCTGTATCCGCTCCGTCCCACTGCTCCGCCGGGGCCGGTCCCCTCCCCTCACCTGAGTGTCGATAATTTTCACTCCAGTGCGGTCGCCCACGGTCAGCACCCGGGGGTGGGCCGTGAAGTCTGCCCAACGCCAGGGGGAGGGGTCCCGGAACACGAGGGTGTCAGGGTCCTTGTAGACTTGCTGCAGCCTTGGGGAGACAGGCCAGCCATGGGCGGGGGCACCGGGGTGACATGGCCCAGGGTCCAGGACATGGTGCATGGGGCACACGGGCTGTGGTCCCAGGGGGAGGGGGGCTGTTTAGAGGGGCAGAGGACTTCTGCAGGAAGGGGGCGTTACCCGTCCCGGGGGGTCCACAGGCAGACGGCTCCCGAACGGCTGCAGACGGCCAGCTCCCCCGGCAGGTGAGGGCTGCAGGGACGGGTGGGGTCAGTGCAACTCCCTCCCCCCATGCCCCCTCTCCTCGCGGGCCAGCCTGTCTGAGCCTCTCACCTGAGGCTGATCCCTGTGGCCCCCTTCCCGACCTGCAGCACCTGGAGGGGGACGGGCCGCCCCTGCTTACGGACCTTCCACAGGGCACAGTGGTAGTCAGACCGGACGGCCAGCAGGGCTGAGGGACGGAGAGGGTCAGGGTCAGAGTCAGGCAGCAGGTCAGTCAGCGAGGGAGGGAAGGAGAAGGGAAGGGAGGTACCCAAGCGACTCACATTCCCCTTGCACGGTACGGGTCACCACCTGGCGGACGGGTCCGCGGAGCTGGATGTGGCCAGGGTCCCCGAGGGCCTGGGGGTCACCGCCAGGGGTCACACTGACCTCTTGGAAACCTGGGCCTCTCGCTAAGGAGAAGTGTGTGAGCTCTGGTCCCCGCAAGCCCCCCGCATCCTGCCCGGAGACCATGCCGAGAGCACCCGGCCCCCGGCCCGGCAGGAAAGGATACACAGCTTGTCCAGGGCGCCTCCCGCAGGGAAGACCAGCTGTCCCCCGCCGGGCGTCCCCCCGGGCACCCAGGCCATCGCGCCACCAGTAAACGCATCGTCCAGGAGAAGCTGCTCCCAGCGCAGGGCCAGCTCCTCGTGCAGCAGGTCCCCGAGGAGGCTGGCCACGGACGTGCCCAGGACGGGGCCCCCGAGGATGGAGAACCGGCGCTGCCGGAAGCTGAGGAAAGCCCAGGGACACCTGGGGACCGGAGAGCAGCGGGGCTGAGGCCGTGGCAGTGACTGAGAGGAGGCCTAGGCTCCCTCCCAAGGGAGGCCGGGCCAGCAGGTGCAGTTTTTCTCTACCTAGAATTTCTTCCTTTGGGCAACGACTCCACCCTACTCCCCAGCCCCGAGGCTGCAAGGGCAACTGGCTCACGGAGGCGCGACGGGACCAGGCCAACCACGTCCCTCCCGGAACTTCTGCCAGTGTCTCCAAAGAGACACTGGCTTTTCCGTGAAATCATAAGCTATCTTACTGCCACTTAGAAACCGTTTGTCCAGGACACGCCAAGCCAAGCGAATGAGAAACTACAGAGAGACAGGGCCCTATCAACGTTACTTGAGCACCCTGATGCAGCCATGCCTGTAGTCCGTGAGTTTAAGTCCCTCTCCCACTTAGAGCTGCAGCAGTGTGTGAAGGCGACTCAGGACCACACGGGGCAGGGGAAACGACCGTGACGGGAGCCTGCGTCCGTGCCCTGGCCCCTTCCACACCCCCAGCAGCTAGGCCTGCCCAGCCCGGCCTGTCTCACTAGCCACTTGCCCCCAGGGCTGGTGTCCACCGAGGTCCTGGAGTAGCCTCTTCACACTGACCACTGTCTTCTTCTTAGAATGGCTCTGTGTGGAAAGGCCTTGTCAAGCCCGCACCCCCGCGGTCGCCCCGACAGGAAGTGGGGAACCCCCTCTCCAGGCAGGACAGGGGCTACTCACCCGTGCTCCTTCGAGTTTGAAGTTCTCCAGCATCAGCTTCCCCAGGGGTGCAAAGGCCACGTCCCCATGGTCCCACAGGAAGCGGCTGAGCTGCAGCACAGGAGGCCAGGTCACCGAGCACAGCCCCGGCCGCCCAGCCCCGGCCACCAGTGTGGCCACGTACCTGTTCCGTGACATCCAGCACAGGCTGGGGCTTTCTTCGGAACGAGACGCCTCCCCGGAAAAGCAGGTCCTGGGCGGTCACCCCAGGGTCCCAGGGATCTGAGGGAACAGCAAGGCTGGGAAAGGGGTTCGTCTCAGGAACCGGAAGGGGCCCAGGTGGCCCGGACGACCGTGGGTCATCAGCAGGGAGAGGGAAGGCCTCTGGGCGGGGGTGGGGGGGCGGAAGCGGCACGGGGAGCAGCTCGGGACGGAGCCCCAAGGCCTGAGACACTTACCGGGCCCAGGAAGCAGCAAGGGAAGGGGTCCAGGGGTTTCTGGCTCCCAGAGCGGGGCTGCGGCCACGCACGACACCCCATTCTGAGGACACACAAGCCCGACACCACCACGGTCAGCACGGTCCCAGGCGCTGCCAGCATGCGTCATTTATTAATTCCCTGGACAACGGTCCCCGTCACTTTTCTGGTGAAGGAACGGGGGCACAGGGAGGCTGGCCCTGGACACACTGGCTAAGAGAAGGGCTGGGAGCCCGGGGCCCATCTGCGCTGCTGACTCCCAGGCCACGCTGCCTCTCGGAGGAGGAGCCCCCGTGCCACTACTGGTGACGGACGGCCGCCTGACTCTTGCTCCCGCCCGGGGGCCGGGGCAGTGACGCGCTCGGGGGCCCGCAGCTCGCCCGCCTGGCACGGTCCTCATGCAGCCTGCCTCTGAGTGGGAGCCGCCCGGCTTGGGCTTCCAGGGAAAGAGCCTTGTCCTTCCTGTCCTCGAGGCCTCTCCCCCTCCCGCCTCATCCCTCCCCCCATCCCCACTGTGCTGGTTCAGAGCCGTCATCACACTCCGTGATGGTTCTATGCTCTCCCCACTGCTGTGTTCTCACTGGGCCGAGCCCTTAGTCCCACGGGCAGGGGATGCATCCCACTCACTCAGGCTGGATCCCGGGGCCTAGAAAGGCACCCGCACCCTGGAGGGGCTGATCAGTATCTGCCGGGCAAGTACGGAAAGACTGAGCAAGGCAAGGGAGGGGCCAGCAAGGCAACTGCTCAGGACACCTCTGTGGGGAGCGGGGTGCCCTCTGTAACCCCCAGGGGAGGCTCTGGCTCGCTCGTGTCGTGGTGGATCTGTGCCATTGCCGCCCCACCCTGCATCCTGACGGAGGGGGTGAACGCTGGAAAATGGTGGGGGGGGGGGGCTGCCGCCAGGGCCCTTCCCGCCATCCTCACCTGGGAGCTCTGGGCCAGGGGCTCGGGCAGGGTGAGCGAGGCCCTCCAGCCGCACGTGGCGGACAGGTCAGGAACGTTACTCAGCCCCAGGGGCCCGGTCCTAAACAGCATGGGCGGGAGGGGGCTGGGGAAGTCCATCCCGGGAAACGGGAAGCCCGCAGCAAGAGCGTTCTGAGACTTGAACCTGCCGATGCCTGCCAGCGCTCCCGGGAGAGTAAAAAGTACCCTGAAAGGACCATGATAGTATGTCGGGAGGTGGATGATGAAGAACAAATCAATATGTAGCCTCCCGCTAGATATAAATAAGTGCTGCGGTAAAACCAACCAGCCAGCCACGAGGGAAGGGACGGCAATGGTGATGGGCAATGGCAGCCCAGGAAAGCCTCACTCAGAAGGTGGCATTTGGCACAGGTCAACATAATGAGGAACAGAACCAAGCAGACGACGGGGATGAGGGCTCCTGGCAGAATGAACACATGCAAACATCCTGGGGCAGGAAAGTGTGTGAGAAGCAACGAGGGAGGCCACAGGATGAGAGGAGCGTGGGAGGGGATGAAGTCAGCCAGGTGGCGAGCACTCAGCCTCTACCATAGCCTGTCACGTGTGACGTGTCACAACCACACACTTGTACACTCCACACCCTACACCCCGGGCTACACTCCCAAGACCAACCCAAGTTCACCCCCGGCTAGAGAATGAGTCTTATTCATCTGTCTTCCTGCTGTCAGGTGCAGTACGTTGCAGAAAATCCAACTGTGTGTTGATTAGTAATAAATTTATGTCGGGGGGCACCTGGGTCCGTTGAGCGTCCGACTTCGGCTCAGGTCATGATCTCTTGGTTAGTGAGTTCGAGCCCCGTGTCAGGCTGTGTGCTGACAGCTCAGGGCCCGCGTCTCCCTCTCTCCCCCTGCCCCTCCCCCACACTTACTCTGCCTCTCAAAATTGAATTAAAAAAACATATTGCCCAAAGCCAACAGCTTGAACTGCCCCCCCCCCATCCAATTCAGTCCACGTTCTGAACCCTACTCTGCCATGCATCCAAAAGCAAACAGATGCATTAGTCTTGGTAAACAGCAATCTCTTCCCTTGGAAGCGGCCACTGCGTTTTATGGGTTTATTCTGTAATCTCCCTACATGCCGTGTCTCGCGCAAAATACCGGTTACACGGCAGGGTCAATAAACGCTTCTCAAGTGAGCGAATATCTCGTGAGAGACCGTGAGCTCTCGCCCAGGGCAGGAACTGTATCTGATTCATCCCTGAGTTCGCTGCTGCGATCCTCCTCTTTCCCATAACACAACAGGCGGGCAGTGGCGGGAGTCACGAAGTGCACAGTGAATCCTTGTGCAAAACACTGGTTTCCACAGACCTCTCGTCCTGACGGCAGTGAGGGAGCGCCCACGCGTCCCCAAGGTGGCCGCATCCCTGATAAAGCAGCGTGGCCACGTCTCCAAACCCGTCTCCAGCTCACGTCTAGCTCGTCGCTTGTGCCTGGGCCCCAAGCACACTGACCTCCTGAGGGATTTCCTCGCTGTCCTTTCACCGCACACCACCTCTCCGCTTACAATCAACACCAGCACCCTTCCCACCCGCCTACAAAATCCTACTCATCCTTCGGATTTCCAGACGGGAAGCCTCGGGCAGGTTCTCCTCCCCAACACCCTGCCCCTTGTCTCCAGAGCACGCACTGCAACGTGTGATTAGATATTTAAAGACGAAGCTATGTGCTTCGAAACTGCTCTAACAGTCCCCACGGGGAAGGACTTCACTCTCCCCGTGCCTCGGTATGTGCTCCATAGTAGCGATCCGTGCACGTAAACTCAAAGGACAAATCCAGAAATGAACGACGAGCAAGGATCCAAACAGCCTCAAACAAACGCGGGCAGAGGGCGCTGCTGGAGCCCCCGAGCACGGAAAAGCCCCCCGGACGAGGCAGCCTCACTTCCCGCCCTCACCTGCGACCGGCAGAGGCCCCGCGAGAACTGGCCCCCCGTGTTGGACGGGTGCTGCCACAGGCCGCGTGCGTGGGATCCTTACCGCTCCCCGACGCAGGAGCTGGCAGCCCCCTGTGCAGCGGCTGGGGAAGCTGTCCCAACGTCCCCCGGCGTGGCGCCCGCGGACCCGCGCCCAGACAGAGCCGGAGCTCCGCTCGCGGCCCGGAGACCCCCCCCCTCCCCGCCGCCCCGCCGTCGGGGCGGCCCGGAGCTTGGCGGGACACCCGCCTACCCCGCGCGCCACCAGGGAGCCCGAAAACTCCACCCCGACTCCAGCGCCCGGGATGGAACCGCACCACCACGGCACTTAACGGTCTTCCGGGACAGGCCGGAAGTGCTCCCTCGAAGGCAGGAAGTCCCGCCTCCCACCCCGGCCTCCGCGGCCGCGGCGGAGCGCCACCTCCCGGGTGGAGGGGGAATGGGAATGGACCGTAGACCGTACAGTCCCCTCAGGTCCGTGTAGTGAAGGCCAGTTTGACGTGGATGAATCCCATCCCTGCAGGCTTGTTGTTCAGTATTAAATTAATTCACTCAACAAACACTGAGTACGGAGCCTCTCCTATGAACCAAGCACTATATCAGTGAGTAGAAATCCAAAGAATTGTCCTCATGTCCTATGTCCTCACATCTTTATAACTAGGGGTACAGGTACCCCTAGAGTGCGCGAGATTCTCCCAGTGGTCACGCAAATACAGCTCTAGGCATTGCTTCTCGAGTCCCAGCTTTCATCCCATTATTTGAATGGCGTGTAAAATAGTTACTGGGTGGGGGTGGGGAGGACCCGATCATTTGCATTCCTAAATTCCCAGGTGATGCTGATTGTGGTTGTCTGGGGGAGGGGGGTCACACTTGAAGAACTACTGTGCAATCATAAATCTTACCATTATCATAACCCAATAGCTCTCAAACTTGAGCGTGCAACAGAATCCCCTGGAAGGCCTATTAAACTACTTTGTTGGGCCCCACCCCCAGGGTTTCTGGTTCAGTAGGTCTGGGATGTGATTCAAGAATTTGCATTTCTAATGAATTCCCAGGTGATGCTGGTGACGCTGGTGATGCTGGTCCAGGTACCACACTTTGAGAACCATTATTTTTTTTTAATATTTATGTATTTATTTTGAGGGAGAGAGAGGGAGACAGCACGAGCAGGGGAGGGGCAGAGAGTGAGGGAGAGAGAGAATCCCAAGCAGGATCCACACTCAGTGTGGAACCTGACGTGCACTCCATCCCACAACCCTGGGATCATGACCTGAGTTGAAATCAAGATTTAGATGCTTAACTGACTGAGCCACCCAGGCTCCGTGAGAACCATTATTTCTAAAAAATCAATTTCTAAATCTAAGTGTCTAATTTGAGGCTGAGTGTCTGAGAACTTTTTTTCAGTGCGCGGCTACAGGAGCGTGACTCTCTCCTGCCTGCTCTTCCCAGGTCAAACGTCCCTGGATCCACTAACTGCTCCTCGTTAGCACCAGCATCCACACCCCCTGGTTAGCCTTGTCTTACCCAAAGGTAGCAATCACTAGAGGTGGCAGCAACAGCGACAGATCTTACAGACTATGAACTGAGTAACAGATCATATTTTCCTGGTCATTGGCTCCTGTAAGACTCCGTTAAATTTGTGGCCCCTTAAAACAATTGCCTATTGCATCACAGAAGGCCATGTGCAAATTGTCTTTATCCCTAAGTTCTTCTTGTTTTTGTTTTTGTTTTTTTCCCCTTCATCCCTAGTCCCTTATCTTAAAGAACTGTTGTCCTGGGGTGTTTTTATAAGCCAACTTAAAATCCCTTTTGAAAAAAAAGAGGGGGTGCCAAGTGGCTAATTTTGGCTAGAAGCTTCAGGAAGGCCTACAGTGAACAGTCTTTAAATGTAGATCCTTCAGATGCTGTGCGGGACTGATTCAATTTAGAACTCCTGCGTTTATCAGATAAATACTCCCCCCACCCCCGCCCCCACGCAAGCTTATTGGTGGGAGGCGGTCTGGTGTGACGGGTGTAGTTGGGAGCATCTTGGGGCGGGAGTAAGGCTGAGGCTCTGGACGCGCACCCCCAGGCCCCTTCCCGGGTCTGCACTTCCAGGACCACTCAGGGTGGGGAAAACAGTTAACGGGTCCCCACCCGCCTTCCTCCGCTCCCCACTCCCTGGCCTGAACAACCACCCAGGGAGGCAGGGCGTTAAAAGATCAGTCAACCAGTGTTCTATAGCCTGGCGGTTGGCATCCAGGAGGCTGGCCTCCAATTGGCTGGGCAGGCTGTCCGACAGAGCTCTGCAGGCTCTCATTGGCCAGCCGTGAGGTGGGGGCGGAGCTTGTCCTGAAGGTCCGCCCAGGCCTGTGCGCCTCACGTGGACCGGCGCCAGCGTGTGTAAAAGGGCGCGGTCGGAGTGAGATTGGTCCCCTCGGGTCCCCGCGTCCAGCCATGGCGTCACCAGCCAGCACCGCCCCAGGCACGGATGACAGCGGCCGCAGGAAGCCTCGCCTGGCGGCGTCCCTGCAAATCCTCCCCAGGCCCAGCCCCTGGCAGCCCTCGGCCAGCCTGGGCCAAGACCCCTGGGAGTCCGTGGCCGCCCCGGGCGCTGGGAGCGACGACGACGACGACGACGGGGACGGGCAGCCCCAGGCCTCGGCAGCAGGAGACGGTGGGCCCGGGGCGGGGACCGGAGTCGGGGAGCTGGGGGCAGCCCAGGCACGGGAGAACGCGGGGGCACGGATGGGGAGGTCTCCGAGGGTCTCTGTCCCGCCTCCAGGGCCAGCCAGGGACTTCCCGACGGTGGCCGGACAGCTGGGCTTGCAGCTCAAGGACCCGGCGCCGGGCCAGGCGGTGGCCTTGCTCGCGCAGTACGCAGCCAGCGCGGGCGTCTCCCTGAACTTCCGAGAGGACCGGACGGCAGGTGAGGCTCTGTGGCCTGCGACCGCAGCGCTCCCTGGGCTCGCCCCACGCGGTGGCGGAGGGACCGTGAGCCGGGCCTGCGCGCCCGAGCCGGGAGCCCCACGGTGCCACACATGGGGGGGCACAGCCCCAGCAGCAGGGGGAGCCCTATCCCCCCTCTGAAACTTGGACAAGGTACGGGACTTGGCCCAAGCTACCCAGCCGTTCAGCACTGTTTTTTCTTTGAGGACCGCTGACATGCAGTTACAGTTGCCATGCCAACATTGCAGCTCCCTGAGTGAGGGCCAGCCCCCTGACGTATCAAGCGCAGTGTGATAATGGCAGCACTGGCTGGAGCTGTACTCGTCACCGTGTTTTTTCCTCTTCTTCGGTGTACCCTCCCCACCTCTGACACAGACACACAGAGCGGGACCCCAGCTCCTAAACTCAGGTCCCCAACCTTATGCCAGAGCATTCTGGGTTTCTAAGGAGATGGTAAGAGAGTTATCTGTCTAGTTGTTGGGAGCACTTGGAAAAGTGCCTAAGAGAACCCCAAATGAACAGCTCACGAAAAGGTACTGTATTAAAAATGTACAGTGAAAATGGGGCTTGTTTTCATCAGGGATGCTAAGGCAGCAGGTGTGGAGACAACTGTCAAGGAGAAACAAGTACAGACCCCTAGGAACAGGAGACAGCTTTCCACATAGGGCCACGGGGGACGGGACCAGAGTTGGTTGGGAGGCAGAAGCACAGGGAGAGAAGAGCACAGAGCCTTTGTTGGGATTTTCTCAGGAGAGAATGGTTGAGGCAGCTTAGGTACACTGGGTAAGCTCAGGATTGTATAAGGCAAGGCACTGAGGAAGTTTGGGATTACGAGGGTAGCCCTGGTTGCCCAGTACCTGTCTGTGGGGTGATCTAGGGTTGATGGTTGGGGTATGAGCTCTAGGATTGGTTGGTGTCTACATCAGAGGTGTGTTTGCAAGGAAGTGGTTTGCCATTAGCCAGTCCTAGGAGAGGCAGCCTCTCCAGGCTCAAGGCCCCAAATTCGGAAGCACCAAGAATGCAGAAAAGATGATGGATTCAGCACAGATGATCATAGCTAGCATCCTTGGGTTCTGGACCATGAGCCAGGCAACTGAAGCGCTCGGGCCACGTGAACGCCTGGAATCTTCATGACTGTTCCTTAAGGGAGGTATAGTACTATCCATGCCATTTTACAGACCAGAAGACTGAGGCCAGAGAGGCTGTAGCTGCCTCACACAGTGTGAACCCCTGGGTTGTATCACCTCTCCCTTCTGCTTAGGATACTCCTGCCCCTTGTTTACATGGGTAAACTGTTACATGGGGGCGCTGTTTTTAGTTGTTTTAGGGGGTTTCTTTTAATGTTTTTTATTTATTTCTGAGAGAGACAGCATGAGCAGGGGAGGGTCAGAGAGAGAGGGAGATACAGAATCTGAAACAAGCTCCAGGCACTGAGCTGTCCGCACAGAGCCCAAGATGGGGCTCGAACCCATGAACTGTGAGATCATGACCTGAGCCAAAGTCAGACGCTTAACCGATTGAGCCACCAAGTTGCCCCAAGTTGTTTTAGTTTTTATTTGATAATTTTTTAAAGAACAGTATTAAAACTCCCATAAGCTCTTCCTCCAGATCCAGTTAGCATTTGCACCTTTGTTTTGTGTATATCTCCCTCTCTCTTTATATTTATTTATATACAAATACGTTACTTTTTTTCTGACCAAAGTTAACTTACTCCTTAAATGCCCAAGTGTATCTCCTAAGAACAAGAACTTATTTTCTATAACAACAGTAAGTGATCAAATTCTGGAACTAGATGTAACACTGTTACCTGATTATCACTCGCACCTGAGTTGGGCCAATTGTCCCAGTAATAACCATTTACCCCAGCCAGCATGACCTGTAATGTAGCTGTCCGTCACTTTAGTCTTTTTTTTTAATGTTTTATTTATTTTTATTTATTTCTAGGAGAGAGAGAGAGAGCGTGAGCAGGGGAGGGTCAGAGAGAGAGGGAGTCACAGACTGAAACAGGCTCCAGGCTCCGAGCTGGCAGTCAGCACAGAGCCCGACGCGGGGCTCGAACCCACGAACCACGAGATCATGACCTAAGCGAACGTCGGACGCTTAACCGACTAAGCCACCCAGGCGCCCCAATGTTTTATTTATTTTTGAGAGAGAGAGACACACGCACAGAATCAGAAGCAGGCTCCAGGCTCTGAGCTGTCAGCACAGAGCCCGATGCAGGGCTCGAACCCACGAACCGTGAGATCATGACGTGAGCCGAAGTCGGACGCTTCACCGACTGAGCCCCCCAGGCGCCCCTCTTTAGTCTCCTTTAATGTGAAACCAGTCCCCGACCCATCTTTGTCTTCGGGAAAATGGATGTTTTTGAAGAGTAAGGGCTGGTGGTTTTGTAGAGAGCCCTACCCTTTGGGTCTGTGTCTTTCCTCGGGCCTGGGTTCAGGTTGGGATTCTGGGCACGAGCGCACGTGGTAAGCCCCTGTCCTTGGCCGCACTGCCCACCGGGAGGCCTGTGCTCTGTCTGTCCCAGCGCGGGCACCATTAGCTGCAAGGGCCTGAGTGGGGGCGGGGAGGGGCAGGGATCCGCGGGGATCCGCCCGGTGTCTTCACTTTCCCCTGCGGTTAATCCGGCCCCAGGGGCTGCTCCGATGCCAGCGCTCTGCCTGCACCTGCGAGGTGGAGGTCTAGATGCCCTCCGACTGGGAGTGAGTCTCAGCGTCAGCAAGGAGCACTGCCAGGCGGGCTCCCTTCTGAAAGGGTAGTCCTTTCGGGAAACCGTTTCGCGGCAAGTACCAGCAAGAACCGGGAACTGAAGTGGGCTTAGGCCCCTTCACCAGGTGACCCCAGTTCCAGGGCTTGCTTCTGCCTCGTGACCCAGTCACACCTGAAATGACAGCGTTCGGTAGATGAGTCTCTCAAACTCTAGAACCTCTAGCTGAACCTCTAGAAAAGAAACCGCCGTGCGGCGCCTGGGGGCTCAGTTGGTTGGCGTCTCACGGCTCAGGGCACGATCTCACAGTTCGTGGGTTTGAGCCCCGCGTCGGGCTCTGTGCTGCCAGCTCAGAGCCTGGAGCCTGTTTCGGATTCTGTGACTCCCTCTCCCTCTGCCCCTCCCCTGCTCACGCTGTCTGTCCCTCTCAGAAATCAGTAAAATATTTTTAAAAATTAAAAAAAAGAAACAGCCGTGTGGGCGAGGTCTGGAGGGGTGGGTCCATGCCACCTGCCTGTAGTGTGCCCCCCTCCGTCACACGGGGTCATGCAGGCCTCTCGCAGAGGGGGTGTCAGGACTCTCCGGGGGTGGGCGGCCCCGTGTCCCCCTCCCCCTCGCTGTCTCTAGGTACACGCTCCAGAAGCATCCTTGCTCTTGACGTCCTTGTCACGAGCATCCTCCTCTCACAACCAGTTGGCCTTAAAGCCATTTTTCCCGGAACAAAAAAAAAAAAAAAACGGTTGACAGTTCAGTTTGACAGTTCGGTTTCATTTCTTAACTGACGTAGGACCCCCATTTTGACAGTCTGTAAGCCTCGGCTGGCAGGGAGGTCCGCACAGAGTTCGAATCCCCACTTCCCAGAGAACGTGGCACTGTCCACCGACTTGTGACAAACACGCCCGGGCAAACCACAGCATCGGGGCTTCCGTGGCGCGAGACACGGGCCTCGGCTCCCCACGGGCGCCCCGGTGTTGGGAAACTGACTCCTCTCTTCAGAGGTTTTAGCCGAGAAAGAAAAGGCACGCTGCCAACCGAGGAGACGAATCAGCAGGCAGATACAGGTGTTTGATGCCCTGTGTGAACGCGGGGCTTTGAACACAAGACCTGGGGTACAGTCTCCGGCATGGAATCCATTCCCGGTGCAGGATTGCCGTGAATCCACACTACGCGTTTTGAGCGTATTCAAATATTCCGTGGTAGTCTTTTTAAGACTGCTACTCATTTTCATGTGTCATTATGTCCTTTTTAGTGAAGGCCCCCACTCTTCTCTGTGACTTTTTTTTTAATATTTTTTTAAAATATTTTTTTAATTTATTTCTAGGAGAGAGAGAGACAGCGTGAGCAGGGGAGGGTCAGAGAGAGAGGGAGACACAGACTCTGAAATAGGGTCCAGGCTCCGAGCTGGCAGTCAGCACAGAGCCCGACGCGGGGCTCAAACCTACGAACCGCAAGATCATGACCTAAGCGAAAGTCGGGCGCTTAACCGACTGAGCCACCCACGCGCCCCTGTGGCTTTCTTTTTTGGCAAAATTGCCTGGCGGCCAATAGTTTGCAGGGGCGGGGGGGGGGAGGAGGAAGGGGCTGACAGGGGCCGTGGCTCAGGGCGACCCATGAGGGGGACGGAGCGCGGGGTCGCAGCTTCACCCCCCCCTCCTTCCGCAGACCCCTGCCTCCCCTTCTCCGTGTGCGCCGAGGTGGACGGGCGGCTCTGCCCCTCAGCCAGGGCCAGCAGCAGGCCGGAGGCCAAACAGCAGGCGGCGCTCTCCGCCCTCCGCTACATCCGCAGTCAGCTGGGGAGCGCAGGTGAGGGCGACAGGTAACCCAGTATAGCGTGTGCACGGCTGGGGTGTCGCCTGCAGGGAGCCGGGCAGCGGGGTGTGAGCTGACCCCTGCCCTAATTCCTCTGAAGCCGGCCCACCCTGGGGGTGTGGGGGCTGCAGGGGGAGGGGTGGCCGCCCAGGAATTTGGGGCTTCTGGAAGATGATCCTCCCACACTCCCACCGATGGACCTTAGCTTCCCGAAGGACAAAGCACAGGACGGCAGGCGCTGGTACCCACGGCAACCCGCCCCCCTTGTTTCTCTTCCAGAGACCCCCAGCAGGCTCCCACTCACCCCTCTGAGTGTAGGTAGGTAGGTCGGGCCCCCCTTGACCCAACCCCCGTGGTGAGGAGAGGGGCACAGCCTGGGAGTCCCCACCTCCACCCTCTTCCCCACGTGCAGAGAACATCCTGACCCACGAGCAGCGCTGCGCGGCCGTGGTCAGTGCCGGCTTTGACCGTCTGGTGGACACGACCTCCCCCTACCGGGCCTGTAAGAGCACCGTGGCCGCCGTCATCCTGGAGAGAGGTAGGCCTTGCCCTTGCCCCCCCACCCCGGGTCGCAGCCCCCGGCCCCCTCCACGTGGGCCCCCTGCCGTGGCCGGCACGTCTCCACCCCCTTCCCTCACAGAGGTCCCGGGCGCCAGGGGCCACGCCAAGGAGGTCTACCAGCTGGTGGCGCTGGGCACCGGCAGCAGCAGCTGTGCCCGCCGCCTGGAGTTCTCTGGCCGCCAGCTCCACGATGGCCACGGGTTGGTGGTGGCGCGCCGGGCCCTGCGCAGGTGAGGGGCGGGCGGGCCAGGCCCCTGGGGGCAGCCGTGGGCAGGACGCGGGCCCCCGGGCCCCAGCCGCTCCTCCACCTGCCTCTCCCAGGTTCTTGTTCCGGCAGCTCCTGTTGGCGACACAGGGCGGCCCCAAGGGCAAGGAGCGGTCGGTACTGGCCCCCCAGCCTGGGCCCGGGCCCCCCTTTGCCCTCAAGCCCCAGATCTTCCTCCACCTCTACATCAGCAACACCCCCCAGGGAGCTGCTCACGACATCTAGTATGTGGGGGCACCAGGGCGGGGGCGGGCTCGGTGTGGCTGCATCGGGGAGGGCAGGACGGGGAGGGGTTAGAACAGCCCTGACTCTCATGCCCGGTGCCCGCGCACTCCCGCGCCCCTACAGCCTCCCCCCGTCCGCCGAGGGCAGCTTCCTGCACAGCCCGCCCCCCCGCCTGCAGGCCCACATCCGCGGCGAGCTGCGGCCCGTGTGCTACGTGGCGCCCACACTGCGTGACACCCACGTGGGCTGCCTCTCCGCCAGCGACAAGCTGGCGCGCTGGGTCGTGCTGGGGGTGGGCGGTGCCCTGCTCGCCCACTTCCTGCCTCCCCTCTATGCCACCAGCCTCGTCCTGGGTGAGGGTCTGGGGCAGGGAGGGAGGGTGGTGGGGGTGCTGAGGTGAGGGTGGAAGGCGGGCTCTGGGTGGGGTGTGGGAGAGGGTGGCGGTGACCCAGACCTGGTCCTGTGCCTCTGTCCCCTCAGCCGACCCCTGCCACGACCCCCCAACTCTGAGCAGGGCCATCCACACCCGGCCCAACCTAGACAGGGTCTTGGAGCCATGCCTACCACCTCCCTATGCCCGTACCATGCTGCACCTGTTTTCGGGGCCCCCTGTGGCCCCCTTGGATCCTACCCCCAACGCCTGCCATGGCCTGAGCCTCAACTGGAGCCTGGGGGACACCGATGTCGAGGTTGTGGATATGGCCACCGGGCGTGTGAAGGCCGAGTAAGAAAGGACCACGGTGGTAAGGGATCTCTGGCTCCCTGCCTGTGGGGTGGGTGCCTCGCTCTGTGACCATGGCCGGTGCTTCCATCACCCACCCTGTGGCAGCCGTGAACCCGAGATCGCCATGGCGGAGAACGGAGGTGGCGGGAGCTGCAGGGTGTGGGCAGGTCAGCTCCGCCTTCTCTCTCTGTCTCCAGGGCCTCCCTCGGGCCTCCGTCCCGCCTCTGCAAGGCAGCCTTTCTCCAAGCCTTCCGCCAGGCCGCCACAGCTCTCAGGAAGTCCTGCCTCTTGGCCTTGGAGACCTATGAGGCTGCCAAGGTCAGCGTCTCCCCACCCCTCCGGCCGCGCTGTCCCACCCCCCCAGCAGGCACGTGCTCAGCACCCTCCTGTCCTGTCCTAGGCCGGACCTTACCGGGACGCCCGCAGGCAGCTGTCTCTCCTTCTGGACCAGCAGGGCCTGGGGGCTTGGCCCTCGAAGCCGCTGGTGGACAAATTCAGGGACTGAAGCCGACCTGCTGGGCCACACGGGGTCCCTGAGCCAAGCTGGAGCCTGGGGAGGGATGGGGTGGGGTGGGGAGGCGCGTGGGGGGAAGGGGATGCACGGGCGAAGTTGGGGTTACAGGGAGGGGCCTACGGGGTGGAGGGTGAGAGCTGTGGCATGAAAAACTTGAATAAAAGAGCAGTTTCTGGTGATTCTCGCTGTTGGTTTTTTGGGAAGGAAGGGATAGCCTGCAACCCTCTTAAGCATTCATGAGTGGGGAGGGTCCACCTCGCAAGAAGAGAGACCTTCCAGGGAGTTGAACTAGATGGAAAGTTTTTCTAGAAGGAGGATGAGGCCAAGAATGTTATTAGCAAAGAAAAAAAAAAGAAAAGGATTATTCCAGGCATGGAGCATTCTAGGGGCAGAAGCCAAGTGTCATATCCTGCGGATTACCTCATCTTTATTGGGGGAGGGGGGTAGAGGACCCAGGTGGCCGAGTCGTTGGCTCTGGCTGAAAAATTCCCGACTGACCAGTTAGCATGACCCTTCTGGGGAGGTGAAACTGCAATCAGATTATGAACTAACCCCCGGGGTGGGAACTCCATCTAGGCGACCCCATATGGGGCCCGTGGTGGTTTTACACACAGAATCACTTGATCGTGGCGCCAGCCGTGGCTCGGTCCTGCCTGCCTGCTCCATGTGATGTCCCGGGGCCCAGCCGTGGCCGAGCCGTGGCCGCGAGAGTGGGAGCACTCCTTTGGTGGGGGCTCCGGGGTCCCTTCCCTTCCCAGGGCTGGGAACCGGGACCGGAAGCAGGAGTGGTAGTGGAGGGCGGTGCCCGCTCTCGGGTCCCAGGTGCGCCGGCTGGAGGCCTCGGCCGCGCCGCGAGCCCCGCGGCTGCCCTCGGCCCGTGTGGAAGGCCGCGGAGGGCTCGGGCGTCCTGGCCCCACCTGGGGAAGGATGCAGGCCCCGGGCTGGCCGCAGCCCTCGCCCCTGCCGGTGAGGCCCTCCGGGTCTCTGTGAGTGGGCAGGGCCCAGAGTCCCTTCCGGCCGGTGTGCAGGTGTACGGGGTACATATTCGCCCCCAAATTCATGTCCACCCCGAGCCTCTGAAAGGGACCTCACCTCGAAGCAGCCTCTGTACATGGAATCAAGTTGCAAGAACTACAGACTGCTCTCCCAGGTGCGCCTTGGGAAGCTGGGTCAACGTGCAGGGTCAGGCGGGTGCTGATGCTGAAGTCCTGGGATGGGGTCCCCTCCCTCCAGGCCACCCCTGCGCCCCTGGGTGTGTGTGGCCTCTGCCAGCCTCTTGACCTCAGTGTACTTGGGTCACTGCATCTAGAGGAACAATCAGGAGGGCTGCCTGGTGGTGGTCTCTTCTCCCCCAGCGAGTCCATCCTGCCCACCTTCAGGCTTTCCCTCTGCTCATCCCATGGGCTCTGCTCCCTCTTCTTCATCTAACGTCACTGCCGAGGAGGGGGACATCCGAGGGAGGAGGCAGGAGGCAGTGGACGAGTTGATGGCTTTGAGGGCTCCCCTAGGCCCTGCACCGGAGGCTCCAGGGACGCCGGACACGGCTCTCTAGCACCACTGACCTTGCTCCAGGGGCACAATCCTGGCCCCATTTCACAGGGGAGGACACTCCCACAGTGAAGTAGGGTAACTTCTGGAAGAACACAAGGGTGTGGGGGGAGCTGCCTTCAGAGCCCTTCAGTCCCCAGCACTGCCCTGGGGGCTGCTGGGCTTGCTTCTGTGACCTTGAACAAAACTCCCAAGGACATTTGTAAACTGAGGACTGGGCCCTGAGGTTCCAAAGGTTCCCTCCACGGAGGTGGGAGATGCAGCCTTGCCCTTGAGAGAAAGTGCTCAGGCTGGTGTGATTGCAGGAAGCCCAGGAGGCTGCGGGTGGGAGGGGGAGGGGAGGGGTGGGGGAGGAGAGGGAGGGGGAAGACAGGGGAAGAGGAGGAGAGGGGAAAGGAGGGGAAGAGGAAAGGGGGAGAAAGGAGGGGAGGGGAAGGAGAAGGGGGGAGGAGGAGAGGGGAGGGGTAGGGGAAAGGAGAGGAGGGGAGGGGAGGAGGCAGGAAGAGACGGAGAGGGAGAAATGAGGAGGAGGGAGAAAGGAGGGGGTAATTGGAGGAGGGGCGGGGACTTGCAGGAGGGGGAGGGGGAGGGGAGGGGCTGCGAGCGGGTGCGCAGGGCTGCTGGCGCAGGCTGGCGGAGGACCCGGGAAGGGAACTTTGAGCGGGGTGGGAGGGTCCCCAGAGCCAGGTAAGCTCTGCTTGTCTTGTTTGCCTCAGAAAACCGCTGGGTTCTTTACCCGTCAGGTATTGTTTCTCTAAAAGAAACTTCTCGGGCCAACTTGGAAATAATGATTTCTCTTGGTTATTGTTTTCAGGGACGAGAAGATTTTTAAAACACCCAAGCCTGTTAATTAGACCATTTATTGCACACTGTTGTCCCCAGGAGATAATTTAAATTGATTTACTTCTTGTACCGCAGCGGTGCCTACACACAGCCATCCCACGCTGCAGTTTTATGCGATGAGCCTTTTGATATTCATCCATCACATAATCACTGGGTAAACAAGTCATTCCAAGTGACATTAACTCTGCTGGATCTGCCAAGTAAGGAATATTTGTCCCCGCGTTGCATAAATCTGCACGTCCCATCCTTTCCTCCCTAGAGGGTCCTCCTTTCACAAAACTCTCTTAGCTCCTTTGACTCGGCTGATTTATGTGGAAGGACAATGGTGAAGGCTGCCTTTGAAATGGAGAGTCTGTTAATGTCTTCTTGGCCTGATCCCCTGGGGGTGAGGTTTTGCCAGCAAAGGCATATTTAATGTTTTTTTTTTTTTTTTTTTTTTTATTTCTAGGAGAGAGAGAGAGAGAGAGACAGCGTGAGCAGGGGAGGGTCAGAGAGAGAGGGAGTCACAGACTGAAACAGG